GTTCTTATTTTATGTGCGTGGATGTTTTGCTTGTTTGTATATACATATACCCCAAACATGCATGGTACCTGAGGAGGTCAGAATAGGGAGGGCATTAGATCCCCTGGAACTGGAGTTACATTATGATTGTGAGCTGCCATTCAGGGGCTGGGAGATGAACCCCAGTCCTCTGCAAAAACAGAAAGTGCCTTAGCTGCCGAGCCATCTCTCCAGCCCCAAGTAATCTCGAAAATAGAAAAGGCACTAGGTATCACATTTCAGAATGTATGAAAACATCAGTGACTTCTCGGAGGAAACAAGACATCCCAGAATATGCTTCTTCATATTTAAAAATACACCCACAAAGAAAAGCCGGATATATTATTATTCGTAGATACAGGGAGGCATAAGAGTATGTTAAAATATTTGTGAGAACTGACTCCAAGAAAGTAGCTACTATCAGAGATGAAGAAGGACTCAGGTTTAATGGCACAGGACTGTAAACTCAGGACTCAGAAAGCTGAGGCAGGAAGATTGGAAGCTCAAAGTCATCCTTGACTACCTAGTGAGCTCAAGGCTAGCTTGGGCTACATGAGACCCTTTCTTAAAAAGAAGAGATTGCTCAGTGGGTAAGGATGCTTGCTGTACAAGGACCTGAGTTCAAATCCCCAGCAATCATGTGGCCACCTGAGACAGGAGGATACTCAGGGCCTGCAGGCTGCCAGTCTAGCTCCAGGTTTCTTTAGAGACTTGTTATCAAGGGACTAGGACACACCTGTGCATGTGCTACTCATCACATACACAAACACACAATAAATCAAATGTAGTACCGTTAACATGGGCTTCTTCATGGCAGGCTGTCTTAGTTACGGTTTCTATTGCTGTGAAGAGACACCATGACTATGGCAACTCTTATAAAGGAAAACATTTAATTGGAGCTGGCTTACAGTTTCAGAAGTTTAGTCCATTATCATTATGGTGGGAGATGGCAGCGTGCAGGCAGACATGGTGCTGGAGAAGGAGCTGAGAGTCCTACATCTTGATCGTCAGGCAGCAGCAGGAGTCTGTGTTCCAGTGGCCATATTTGAGCTTGTAAGATCTCAAAGCCTGCCTCCAAAGTGATACAATTCCTCCAACAAGGCCACACCTACTCCATAAGGCCACACCTCCTAAAGTGCTACTCCCTATGGGCAAAGCATTCAAATCTGAGTCTATGGGGGCTGTACCTATTCAAACCACCACACAGACATATACATTATGGAGAATGAACTTGTGTATGATATGAATTATTTCCCAGTTAGCATCATGTTTGGAGTTGCAGTTGTCTGGCTTTGAGACGGGAGCCTGGCCTACACACAAAGGGTAGAGATAGAGCAGGTGGTGAAATTACCAGGTGTTCACACCAGGCAAAAAGGTTCTGTGCATCTGTGTGAAGACAGTGTCCATTGGTGGAGGGTGGGAGGCCGGGGACAGGTAAGAAGGCTCTGACTCATGGTTCCTGGTGCCTCTGTCCCTGTGTGGCTGTTCCAGCCAAGTATTTACTAAGAGAACAAAGCAGTCCCAGACATGAATCTGGGTTCTGAAAGAATTCAGAGTGGACTTGGAAAATTTCCCCCACAAACTCTAGATAATTCTACTGTCAACAAGCAAAGCTTTGGGCACAGTAGGAGGCCCCAAATCAGTTTTTAAGCTGGCGCCAGTTCAAACATTATTTCCCCCTTCCAAGCTGGTATGCTTTTGTGGAATCTTTGGCTAGAGCCTGTGTTTTCAAACTAATCATGAAAGAGGCCTTTCAACCTGGGCTTTTCTTTAGCTGTGTCTTGCCCCCTGTGTCTCTGTCCCACTGCATTAAAAGTAAAATGTAATAAGAGACAATTGTATGCATGAGTGTTTCCTTGTTGCTTATACCTTTCTGTGGATCTCATGGCCCAGGGCTCCTGCCAGGGTGGGTAAATGAGGACCTGTGACACCTTCCGTGTCTTTTCCTTGTCCAGCCTCCTAAGGGCCCTGCTTACCTGCCTCGTGACTTTCAAATTCAAGAACACAGCAAACCAGCAAGATCTGGATTAATTCATCTCCAAGCTGGCTCTGAGTTCCAGGGCAGTGGCCTGGGCTGGCATTAAAGGGTGTTTGGACTAGTTTGGGATCACAGAACCACTGTGAGGATTACATAAATCTCCAGACCCAGCACCTGCGCTTCTTCCGGGCTGCTATGATTAACGGGTCCCTTCCACACTTCAGGGATTGCCCATGTGCTAGACTTCACAAGAGGGGTCTTTAGGATGCCATGAGGCCATTAAGACCGTGTAGATGGGACCTCGGGATACAGTCAGGGTCCTTATAAAGATGAAGTATTCAGCTATTATATTCATCACCTGGGTGAGGACTCGGTGTCCCTCCACTCTGGAGGGTGCAGCCCTCTCCAGATGACTGAACATAGAATTAGCTTGATGTCACATGCCCTAGGCTGCAGAACTAGGAGGCACAATCTTCTGCTCTTTATAAATGTCTCAGGCTATGGTGTTACAGATGGGCCCACCCTCATCTTAAGATGGCCACTTTTTGTGACCACTCCAGGCATTCCCACCTCACCTAGGACTGTGGTCTTGCCGCAAAGCCACCAGAGCTTACCCAGGACGCTCAGTCACACAGACATTTTGATCTTGGAATCTAAGGTCAAGTCCAAGTGCTTCTGGTTTGTAACTTGAGCTGCCCAACCACTGCTTGGGGTTTTTCTGCCTCCCTCAGAACCAGGGCTTGCTGACATATGCCACTGAGATCTCCATTGAGCCTCTTGGCAGGTCCCAGGGAGGCTGAAAGTTGACGTTTGTCGCAGGTTCCTAGCTGGTGCTGATGGCGCGGACCACACTCAGAGGAGCATCTAGGATACCAACTAGAGATGCTGTTGTTATTATTTGGTGACTCACTGTCACCAAGTTTCACTGAAGTGAAGCTTTCTGGTGTCCTTTTGGTGGCGCTGCTGTGTTCCTGCTTGGCGGACACTTCAGATCGCCGTGTGTTCCCTTTTAACCCTCACTCCTCATGAGCTGGGCACATTCTTGTCAGTTGATGTAAGGTATGACACTCCTCTTTGATCTTCAGGTGATAAGATCAGTCTGGAGGTGGCTGTGGCCCCTCTGGTTGCAATTCTAGGATGTATGGGGACAGTTGACATTTTCCCCAGCAGTAGCAGCTTCCCTGAGGCTTCTCTGTGTGTTGTCACACCAGGAGACAATTTTGGGACTCTGCTGTTGGAATAACTAGTTCAGGCAGCTTCAATTTTACATAAGGAAATGGGGTTTTAGTAGATGTACAACAGAATAGTAATCAGCCTTTAAGGCGACCCTGCCTGTTTGATAACATGGATGAATCTAAAGACAAGGAAATGAAATAAGCAAGACAGAGAAATTGAAGTGCTGTGTTTGGAGGAGGGAAATGTAACTCGTTGGCAGAACACCTGCTTATCACATGCAAGGCCTGGGTTTGTTCCTCAGATGGGGGAGGGGGAGAGGGTATAGTGGGGAGGGGGAGGAGCAGGGGGAGATCGAGAAAGCAGATAGGGACAGCAGGAAGATGGATTCCAGGGTGGGTGTGGGGAAGATGGAGGGATGGTGGAAGTCAAATAGCAGTTTCAGGTCAGTGGACAAATGATTTGCTAAAGAACAAATGGCCCTCACGAGGACCCTAGTTAATATTGTCCACTGGAAGTTTGCTAAGAAAGATTGTAGGTACTTTATCTCTGACATACACTAACATTGGAAGGTGATTGATACACTAATTTGCTTGACTCTGGTAATCCTCTCAATATGTCTGTGTCTATCAAAATATTATATACCTTTAAATATAAACAATTAAAGAATATTGCAAGTTATCCATAAAAGGATTTTAGTGGATTGAAGTTTCAGTGAACATATGGGTTTAAGACCAGCTCTGGTTTTCTTCCAAATCACTCTTCTCTGATTCTAGCAGTGCCTGCGCATTTTAAAAAAGAAATCACCGGCCACTGTGGCACCCTTACTGTGTGGTTGGGTCGTTCCCTTCCCTTCCCCACTCTCTGCAGGCTTTGAAGTTCTGATCTCATAGGGTGCCATGAGATTGAAGGGTAACTTGCAGATGTCAGGTGTGCACGGCTCAAGTCAGTGTCTCTGGAACCCACAGATGAGTGAATGAGAGCTGGCGCTGTGACCTTGGGTGACTCAGTCACGGTGGGATCCTTTGCTCCTAGGGCTTTGGTCAGAAAGTCTCTTCCTAACCCATGTAAGAGTGGAAGAGAACACACACCTCCACACATGTGATGGGACACGTGTGCCCATACACACATAATGAACATGCACACGCAATCATCGTGACATAGTAAATGCTAATAAATAATAAAATTAAATATTACAGTCAACAACATTTCAGTTCATTTTGTTGTTGTTCTTGTTCATTTTGTCTTAAGGTTTATCTCACTAGGGATATACGGTCAAAGAACTGTTTTCCAAAATTACTTGGCGTCATTTTTTTTTTTGTAGCAATAGTATCAACATCTTTTTTTAAATATGTGCCAAGTGTGCTTTAGATTTTTAGCTATTTCTTGGCAATTTTGTGTGTTCCACAATGAAAAACCCTAACACAAGATATGTTGAGTAATCTGGTTTCGTCTGGTCCATACTTGTTTTCCTCCTTCTTCCCAGGGAAAACAGTTTTCATGAGTATTAGACTTAGTCTCCCATGATTTCTTAAAACATAGATTTGACGGTAAAAAGGCTCTCCTCCCTGTCTTGAGAAGGGACACCCGCGGTCGCTGTGTGTTGGAGGCATTTGTCCTTTCTCTTGGCGGTGTGTGCCGGACCTGCCTCCTTCGAATACATCAGTTCTTTGGTCTTTTTTAAGTGCATCCTGGGATGCTGCCCCCCTCATATTGTGCCCTGAAATGCTAGGAGTCTTGGTGACGTAACTGAAGAGTTTTAGCAACAGTCTCTGCTTCTCCCCACAGAGTGTGATAAATGCTGTCTCTCCCCTCCCCCTCTCTTTCCCAGTCTAAAGGAATTCCTACCGAAAGAATACATCAAGCAGAGAGGGGCTGAGAAGCGGATATTTCAGGTATGGGAACTGTACAGAAATGCGCTCTTCCCCTCACCCTTCGTCCTCATTCATCTCACCCCACACATGGCCGTTTAGTGTCCTGGGCAGGTATTCTTACATAATGAATGATCAGTGAGTCAAGAGGAGAGATGCTGACAGCTCTTCTTTGGACAGATTTATTATCTTAATTCATACTTTCTTGCTAAAGGTTACTTAGCTCTTCTGAGAAAAACGTGCATACATTTAATTTCAAAGACATTATTCTGGTAACATTGAAACAAGGTGATGGGCCATTAAGCTGCGCTGGGAAAGACACAAAGAGCCCCTTTGTCCTGAGATTTGGTTTTTGAAGCTAGAATTGGGGAGCTCGGGCCTTTCGAAAAGCTTGGATTATTTTTAAAGTCAGTGACTTGTCCATCCTAGACAGACAACAAGAAAAGCCCAACTGTCCACGTGACCTTGAAACACTCTAGTGAATCCAAGTTCTCAATCTTCTTTGATTTTGAAATGGAAATAGAAACTAAAATACAAATTGTGTGTATATAGAACATTTTGATTCAATGTTGTTTCCAAATACAAATAATGTTCAGACATGTCTATGTCTTGCTCCATGGAAAAGATATATTCTGAGTCGATGTTAGGAGGACACCTACCTGTTCCGAGAGGGACATCTTTCTTGCTGTCACTTAAAATATGAACTCTGGGCCCTTTGGGATATTGGGTCCTTTGAGGATCCAACTGTACTTGTGGCAGCTACACATGTCATGCTGGATATGGACATGGATCCTTGCACTCTGCTGTAACCTGCTTGGGAAGCCCTGCACTTAAACTTCCCACAGGCTCTATTCCTTAGCTGACACCTGTGTCATGAAGGAGCAAGAGAGATCCGATGCAGAAATGCCACTCGCTCCTGGTCCCTGTGCACCTCCCCGGTGGGGACCTCCTCTCACTGAGTCCAGCTCATGGCAGGCTACAGTAACAGATCCTCACCCCCACTGTTGCTTTTGCAGGAACATAAAAACTGTGGAGAGATGAGTGAAATAGAAGCCAAGGTCAAGTATGTCAAACTCGCCCGGTCCCTCCGGACATATGGAGTGTCCTTTTTCCTGGTGAAGGTGAGTGGCCGTGGGAGTCCGGGGGGGGGGGGGGGGGCCTGTTTACTTGGGGCTTTCTAGTCCCTTTCAGTAAATCAGTTAAACTTGGTTAGTACCCTAGCACAGACGGATGCAGCATCTGGCCAATCATAACCCAAATCTAACTGTACATGAGCACCGGCTAGTGAGTGAGCCCAGCTGCTCCGGTGAGCCTCCAGGCAGCCGAGCCTTGCTTATGTCCCAGAGGAGCAGTCTTGCTGCTGCTGTTCTGAAGTTCCCGGAGGTCAACTGACCCAAAGCCCTAGAGTCCTCTACAATAAGTGATCATGGTTGACCACTGACAACCAAATTAAATCCATGTCATATATGTCATCCTTAATTTGTCCCCATCCTGAAACTGACCCTTTGTTAAAAAGAACTGAACGCTCCTCAATCTTTGAAGGGCTCACAATACGTCACCACAGGCTTGAGGGTCATAGAGTGCTTTGTTCTCTCCCATTTGCTACACATGTTCTGACCACAATGTGGCCTCTTCTTGTGAGGAAACTGTGTCTGTCTGTCTGTCTGTCTGTGTCTGCCTGCTTGCCTGCCTATCTATCTACCTACCAACCTACCTATCTATCTTGAGACAAAGTCTCATTATGCAGCCCTGGCTGAACTGGAATTTGAAGAGGACGGTCTGTCTCCTGACTACTAAGCCACCACTCCTGGTGCTAAAGATGGTTTTTGTTGTTGTTTGTTGTCTGGTTTGGTTTGGGTTTTTTTCAAGACAGGGTTTCTCTGTGTAGCCCTGGCTGTCCTGGAACTCACTCTGTAGACCAGCGTGGCCTCAAACCTGGAGATTTGCCTGCCTCTGCCTCGCAAGTGCTGGGTTTAAAGGCGTGAACCACTACACACAGCCCAAAGATGTTTTTGAGCTTAGATATTTGTTCCCATTGTGGCTTTTCCATTTGCCCCCATCTTCCTTAAGCAAAGTGTCTTAGTTAGGGTTTTTATTGCTGTGAAAACACCATGACCACGGGAACTCTTACAAAGAAATCATTTCATTGAGGGGGTGGCTTTCAGTTTCAGGGGTTCAGTCCATTATCATCACAACTGGGAGCAGGGTGGCATGCAGGCAGACATGGAGCTGGCTACATCTTTGACCAGAAGGCAGCAGGAAGTGGACTGACTGTCGCACTGAGTGAAGCCTGAAAAAGAGACCTCAAAGCCCGCCCCCACAGTGACACACTTCCTCCAACAAGACCACGCCTACTCCAACAAGGCCACACCTCCTAATAGTGCCACTCCCTTTGGGGACCATTTTCTTGCAAACCATCACACAAATAGTCTCTTCATTTACAAAGGGAAAATATGATGGCAGTAATCTTGTGGAGTCTGAGGTCTGTGGATGGCACATGTTTTAGTGAGTATCAAGTCTGTTTTAAGTGCAATCACAGGTTTGTCAGGTGTGGGTACACATGCCCCAAACATGCATTCTATATGAATGTGAATATACACACCTACTTTACTGATGACACCTGTATTGTATAGACGTATGTATTTTAGCACATACTACTGAAAAGGTTTTGTTCCTGAGAATACTAAAAGTTTAGCTATAGTAAATGAAATTTTAGCAATAAGGAAAATATTACAGATCACAGGAGACACTCATTACCAGCATCTTTTCATGTAGCATACAGAGACCTCTTAAATTTTTGTTTTATGAGCCAGGTATGGTGGCTGTAATCCCAACACCTGGGAAAGGAAGGAAGATCTGGAGTTTCACGTCATCCCTGTCTATATCAAGTGTGTGTGATCAAGACTACTCTGATGCTCTCTACTATACATAAATTTTATATTGTTGTTATAGGATCATGTATCCTGTCGTTTTTATTTTACATAAATAATTTACTTCCATAAAAATCTGTTGTTTTCCTACAGTTTTTTTTATTTGTGTGTGTGTGTGTGTGTGTGTGTGTGTGTGTGTGTGTGTGTGTGTGTCATGTGCATGCAGTGCCTTCTGAGGTCAGGTGAGGATGTCAGATTCCTTGGAACCGAAGCTATGGTTTAGCTGTCATGTGGGTGCTGAGAACCAAACTCTCTTCCTTTGTAAGAGCAGCCAATGCTGTTAGCCACGGAGATCTCTCTCTAGACCCACAAAATGGTTTTTAAGCATTGTAGTATGTTCCTTGGATTGCTATAATTTATTTATATGAAGTTTTCTGCTATTAGAAACTGGAGTTCTTTCTAGTCTTTCACTAGGACAAACTCCATTTGTGCTTCTTGTGACAAAATTATTACATACACTTAAAAATTTTAAAACAAAGTGTTCCTAGAAGCAGGCTGTGTCAAAGTGGAAACAATTTTAAGCCTCTAGATGGGTAGGTATTGACATATTCTCTTCTATAAAGGGTTGCCAGTTTTTTAAGGGGTGTGTGTGTGTGTGTGTGTGCATGTGTGCACATACATACATGCATACAGGTGTAAACGTAGTGCCCGTGGAAACCAGAGCCATCAGATTCCCTGGAGCTGAAGTCACCGGTGGTGGTGAGCCACGTGAGCTGGGTTCCGAGAGGCAAACTTCTGCAAGCATAGTGTGCGCTCTTTGCTGTGAGCATCTCTGCAGCCTCAGGCTCCACCGTTTTTGACTTCCATTAACTATGATTCCTTTCGTACCTTCTTCAATTCTGAGAGTTAATTTTTAAAAAACTGTTCGACATAAATGAAGTTGTATTTGCTAAATTTTTATTATTATAAATACTGTCTGCATTATCGTTTTTTGGAAGGTGGTATTTTAGAGGGGGAAGAGGCTGATTTATAAGAACGCTTCACAGCCAGTATATAAAGTTTTTGATATGTGCTGCAAGTATTTATTCTCCAGGCCTAAATTTCCTAATCTTTCTTACCATGAGACTTCCTTCTATTCTGTGTGTTTGTGCTCTCTCTCTCTCTCTCTCTCTCTCTCTCTCTCCCTCCCTCCCTCCCTCTTCCCCTTCCCCTCCCTCTCGCATCCACCCTCCCTCCACCGCATCTCTGTGTGTTGTGTTAAAGCTCTTTTTCTTTTCCTTTATCCTTATTTCAATGTTTTTGCTGGAACAACACTTCTTACCCAGAAGTCCCAAAAAATACCCACCTGTGTTCTTCCTAAACCATTAACAAATCAAACGGTGTAACATAAGTGTGAAGTAAGAATCAATCATTTTAATAGATATCATTACATTTTTATAAGTTATTAAATTAATCAGTAATGCCGTTTTTAGACTCACCTGTAACCCCAGCACTTAGGAGGCTGAGACAGGGTGATTTCCGTGAACTCCAGCCCAGCATGGGCCCTCTATCAAAGGAACACAGTTGGGGATGGGAGTGGGAGAGAGATGCTCATTGTCCCTTACATACCTGTATGAGAATTACACAGCACCACGGCATGTACAATGAATGTACACAGTGACAAACCTTCACATGCTAAACGATGCCCTGCAAACACCACCACAAGGAATCAAGCCCAGTAGCTGGGCAAAGCAAGGGCTGGACGTGGAAATGGATTGCAGAGATGTCTTTTAAAGGGGAAGGATCTATACCTCTTTAGAATCAGAAGATCCTAATTGGGCTCTTTGGGTTCACTTTAAGGGTTTGAATTCTACGTTACCGTTTTTTTCACCCACCCAGATGGCTTCCTGGAATGGTGATACCTGGATTTTACCTCCCAGTCCCTTTCTGGGAGTCTCTCCAGTTCAGTCCCTTCTTCCTGACCACAGTTTTGGAGCAACCCCTTGGGCTGAATAGTGCTGTTTTCCAGGAAGCAGCAGCACACTTTTATGAATCTACCCAGTGTCCTGGTGTCTGTCCTCCTGCCCCATCCCTTTGTCTCAGTTATTTACCTGGCTGTTCAAAAAGCCATACCCAGTTTGTAAACAGACTGCAGGTAAAACACACTAAATACAGTGTGTTCTAGAAAGGCTAATGACCCTTGGCCTCCCTCATTTCAGGAGAAAATGAAAGGCAAGAACAAGCTGGTCCCCCGCCTCCTGGGCATCACCAAGGATTCTGTCATGCGTGTGGATGAGAAGACCAAGGAAGTGCTTCAGGAGTGGCCGCTCACCACAGTCAAGCGCTGGGCAGCTTCACCCAAGAGCTTCACCCTGGTACGAACAGCAAGAGACACTGAGGGGACCGATAGGCTCCTGGGCAGTGTTGGAGGGCAGCCTGTGGGTATGATTGGTCTTCAAGGGCTAGCATAGAGGGAGAAGGTGGGGCAGTCTGTGGGCATAGAGGGCACTGGAACAGAAGTAAGCGGCTGAGCAGCACTGGGATGCTCTGTGTACCACTTCTTCTCATGTTGTATCCAAGTCCTCTTGGAGTACATTGGCTGCAAAGTGATGCTCACCAGGAGGACTCTCAACCGTGTGCTCCTGATGGTATCTCTTATATATCCTGAAAGGAATCTTGTAACTCTAAGGCTCGCATGTGAATCCTCCTCAGAATTGTGCTGTGGTGCTGAAGAGGCCAGGCTGCCAAAAAGAATACAGACTGTGTGTAGATGCTGTACAGACAGTAGAAAGCTGGGGTAATGCTAAAACTCTACGTCACTTCCTAGCTCCGTGACCTTGTTCAAATGACCTCTTCTCTCTGAGCCCTGATTTCCCCAGCTTAAAATGGGATGGTAGTAACTGCTTCACAGTTCCTAGCATTGGGTGAGATGATAAAACAGTATAACATTCATAGAAAGTAAATGACTGTTGTAGGCTTTCTGACCATGACTCCACCTCTCAACTTTAAAAATTGCTCTTAACAGAATGTAACTATGTAGCCATCTAGGGACACATTTACATGTGAATCTTGAAAATGCAAATAGGTTGCCAAGCAAGTTGAGCAAGAAGAAAAGTGAAAAAGTACTGGAAGTTGTTAACTACAGACTAAAGTCTTTAGGATCTGTATTTCCATGTAGACGTTGTTTTAAAGAGTCTAAAGGAGTTTAGAAGGAATGATTGGTTTCTGTTGCTGTGATACAATCAATAACCTTGACCAAAAGCAACTTCAGTCCATTGTTGCAGGCAAGTCAAGGCAGGAACTTGAAGCAAGATATCCAGAGGCAAGAGCAGAGAGAGAACAGATACGTAGAACCTTGCTTACTGGCTCTCCATAGCCTTTTCTCTCTTGTACTGTTCAAGAACTACCCCCCTCATCCCCCACCTCCCACCCCCCACCCCTGTCTAGGGAATGGTGTTGCCCACAATGAGCTGGGTCTTCCTATGTCAATTAACAATCAAGACAGTTCCCCAGAGGCATGCTCACAGGCCAGTTCAGTCTTGGTAATTTCCCAACTGAAGCTGTGTTCTCAGGTGTCAAGTTGTCAGTTAAAACATATCTGAGGACTTGCAGAGGACCCAGGTTCTGTTCCTACCACCCACATGGTAGTTCACACCATGTGTAACTCTACAGTACTGGAAGATCTGATGCCCTCTTCTGACCTCCATGGGCACAGAGCACTCACATGGTGCCCATACATACATGCAGGCAAAAAACTCACACATAAAAGAAAGGAAATAAATCCTGAAAAAATGTTTAAAGCAAAATAAGTTAATAATAATAATAATAATAATAATAATAATAATAATAATAATAACAATCATGGTCACATAATTTGATCATAGATTGATAGGTCCAGACAAGTTGAAAGGAACCCTTAGAAACTTCACCTTCACCGGGCGGTAGTGGCACACGCCTTTAATCCCAGCACTTGGGAGGCAGAGGCAGGCGGATCTCTGTGAGTTCGAGGCCAGCCTGGTCTACAGAGTGAGATCCAGGAAAGGCGCAAAGCTACACAGAGAAACCCTGTCTCAAAAAACAAAAAAGGAAAAAAAAAAGAAAAAGAAACTGCACCTTCTGTAGTTAGCTGTAGCTGGATGGACCTACACAACCCCCAAAACATGGGTGTTGGTTCTCAGCTGCGTCCTCTTCTTTCATTGTGAGAAGTCATGGAGGATTTCTAAATTTTAAAATTTGTATACATATAAGCATGAAATTTAGGAATACTAGAAGAAATTGCTTTAAGACTTTGGAGTGGTATTTTTGGGAAAGGCATTTTAGATTGTAACATCTGTGATCGTTAGCTTGGTTAAGTGCAGTACCACTGAGGCTGTTAACTGCTTGAAAAATCTAAGTCACTCTGTGAGTAGCAACGACTCCAGTGTAGAAAGCTTTCCTATTGTATCCATAAAGATGATTTATATTTTTTAAAAAAAGAAAGGCAAGAATAAGTAAGTTGGAGACAGTTATCTCTGTTATATCTCTTTTAATACTATTGGTCTCTCCAAAGTAGTTCTAAGTACTTAAAGAGCAAAATTTTATTTAAAAAATAGGATATGCTTATAACAAGCTATGTAATGGCCTCACCCAAAAGAGAGCGTGTACCCTGATGTTTTCACTGAGGTGTAAAGTTCGGTAAAGGCTTCTCATAAGGAATTCCTTCCTTCCTCCCCTAGGCTTTTATTAATGTCCCCGGTGTTTGGTGCTTTCCTGCTGGCTCTCTGTGATTGATTTCTGCTTTGGTTTTCTCGTGGTCAGTTGTTTGGAGACCTCCCTGTTGTCTTTCTAGTATTGATTTGCAGCTGGATTCCATTATGGTTGGAGAACATGCTGAAAAGGATTTCGGGGTTTTGTTTTGTTTCACCTTGTTTTTTCCCTTTTAAGATGTTATTTTAACTTTATGTGCATGAATGTTTGTCTCTAGTGGAATAGTAACTATGTAAAGATGTGTTACATTTGTTTATGTTGCAGAATATTACTTTAACTGTGTGAAGGTGTGTTACATTTGTTTATGGTGCATTTGTTTAATTATGTAAAGATGTGTTGCTGTTTTACCTTGCCTGCCTATGGCACTTGATTGGTCTAATAAAAAACTGAATGCCCAGTAGCTAGGCACTAGAGGGATAGACAGGGCTGGTGGGCAGAGGGAATAAGTAGGAGGAATCTAGGCTTGAAAAAGAATGAGGGAGAAAGAGAGGGAGATGCTGGGGGCCAGACAGACAGACACAGAGTAGGACAGACAGAATGAAAGATAAAAAGCCCTGAGGCAAAACAGAGATGAAGAGAAACAGGTTAAATTAAGTTATAAGAGTTAGTGAGACAAGAATAAGATAAAGCCGAGCGTTCATAATTAATAACTCTCCATGTCAAGATTTGGGAGCTGGTTAGTGGCCCAAAAGAAAGCCTAATAATATATTTGCATGCATATGATTCTGCACCATTTATGGGCATGATGCTCACAGTGGCCAGAAGAGGGCGCTAGATCCTCTGGAATTACAGATGGTTGTGAACTCCCATGTGGACGCTGGGAATCCAAACCAGGTGCTCTTCAAGAGTAGCAAGTGCTCTTAATCATGGAGGCATCTCTCTAGCCCTTACCTTATCTTTGTTTGTTTGGAGACAAGTACTCACTGTGTGGCTTTGGGTGGGCAGGAACTCATTAGTAGACCAGACTCATAGCCTCTGCCTCTCAAGTCCTCAGAGTTGGTGTGGGCCACCCTGCCCGGCTCACCTTATCTTTCTGATACATTCAGGATATGATGGTTCTCTCTAAGAGCAGAAGGTACTTCTGCATTGCTCACTATTGCTTGGTGACCTTGATGGGAGGAAGCAGAAGCCACTAGGCCTAGGACACTAAGTGGACCGTGGGGCCACACAAAAATTCACTGTGTTTACTGTAGAAATAAAGTGGACTGTCTCACCCGCTGGGCATGTCTGGGGCCCACTGCTCTTCAGCTGCTAGTGAACTGGGCCCGCCATCCCCCACCCCACCTTGGGCTGCATCTCCTATCTAGCTCTCTTGTGGACTTCACTCTCCTGCTCCTCTGGAAAGAGTAGGCTTTTCAAGAATGGCTACCACAGGTTGAGGTATGCAGGCCTCTCCAGTTCTCTGCTTGGGGATGTAAGAGAAAGTCCCCAAGAGCTCACCACACTAGATCTCCTTTAGTCTTGGGGCTCCCGACCTGCCTGTCCACCTTTAAGTTCCCGGAGCGCCCTCTCCTTTCTATTTTGACATTTCCTTAGGTGTGTAGGGCACGTGGAGGTAGGAAGACAACTTGCCCAAAGTCAATTCTTTCCTTCCACCTTGTGGGTCCTAGCGATTGAATTCAAGTCCTGAGGCTGGGCAAGCCCCAGCTTTTTTTTTTTTTTTTTTTTCAAATACTCACTGTTGAATAAGCTTTTAGAATTCAGTTTTTCCCAGTTTTTCCTTTGAGTGGAGAGCAGTGAAAAGTGAGCCATGTCACAGAGCTTTGCGGCTGTTCTCCGAGGCCTCAAGATACCTGGTAGATCTAATAAAGCTGAGTTTCTTCTAATTCTGCCCTTCTAGGATTTTGGAGAGTACCAGGAAAGCTACTATTCAGTACAAACCACAGAGGGAGAGCAAATATCCCAGCTGATTGCAGGATACATTGACATCATCCTCAAAAAGGTATGCTGTGTTGTCGAAAACCAAGAAAATCAAGACTCGTTTGATTGACAGGTTGCGTCATCAACGTTAAGATTGCTTGGGTATTTGGTCTCTGACCTTGAATCCCCTGAGCATGTCTAGTTTTTGTGTCTGTTACTGCTGGAGAAGGAGCAGTGGTCTGTGTTCTCGTTCGATTTCTGTTGCTGTGATGAAACACCCTGACCAAAAGCAGCTTAAGAGCCAAAAGGGTCTTCCACTCCCATGTCACAGTCTATCCTGGAGGGAAGTGTGAGTATTAACTTGAAATGAGGCCTGCTTGCCCTCCTGTATACACAGCGTACCCTCCAACCAGGAGCTCACAGCCAAGGAAGTAGAGCAGAAACCATGGAGGGATGCTGTTTGATGGATGGTTGGTGTAGGCTCACGCTCAGCCAGCTTCCATGTACAGTGCAGGAAATGGTACCACCCAACGTTGGTTGGGCCCTCCTAAGTCAACTAACAGTCACAGCATTCTCCTGCAGACAGACCCACGGGTCACACTGTTCTAGGGGATTCCTCGAGTTGTGTCAAGTTGATGGTTAGAGCTAGCTGGGACTGTCTGTCCTAGTTCCTCACTCTCCCTCTCTAGATAGCTTTGTTGCTTTCCTGACTGTGTAGAAAAGAAAAGTGTTCATTGTGGTTTTCCCAAGCTTTTGTTTTTACCAAACATAATAGCACCATGTGTTTGGTAAACAAGCAGACGTTTTAAGGCTTCCCAATACTCCATTCTAGCAACCCCATTCTGATAGAATGGTATCGCGTGCGCCTGGCTGCTTTCTGTGTAAGCATTTGATAAACAAGGCTTGTTGTATTTATATATCAAGTCATGGGTTTCCGCTTTATTGGCATCACGCTCTTGTTCTTCACTCATTAACTATCTAGTAGGCAGAATTTGCCATAAACCTGAGTATTTGTTTGTGTCCCTTCGAAAGCTCTCTTCAGTGGTCCTGCACTAAGATTTGCTGATGTCCCTTGTTGTGTCTGTTTTACCTCCAGAAACAAAGCAAAGATAGATTTGGACTGGAAGGGGATGAGGAGTCAACCATGTTGGAAGAGTCAGTGTCCCCAAAAAAGTAAGTATCCAGGGTATCAGGGATCCGCCTCTGCCTGCGGTGAGGTGGTCATGGGATAGGCCAGCCTTGCTTTTCAGTTATGGGCCCTAGATGAGAAGTGTGTGTCATATGGCTGTCCTGTGTGGCAGGGCATAGTGTCCACCTCCATCTTGAGAAGCAGTCGGTTTTTCCTGGGTTCTGTTCTGCGTTTCTGGTGTAAATTTCATGGGTTGGGTTCTTCCCTCAAAATCTGTAACTTGACTTCTGTTGGATTCTGTTCTGAGGTCTCTCGGCGGCTGGCCAGTGTCCACAGATTGCTAATGACAAGCCACGCCCCTCTCGCAGGCTGTGAGGCAGCAAAGAGACTAGGCTAAAAACCCGTCACCCGGCTTCCATGGGCACTGCATGCAAGTAGTACACTAATACACGTATAGGCAGCACACTCATGTATATAAAATAATACAAACAATTAAAAAAGAAAAACATACTCATAGGAACCGTGCTCAGAGCAAATCTGGGGTCTGCTCTTTGCCTTGATTTTTTTTCTACCTTCAAGAGTCCATGTATAAATCAGGAATAACATTTGTACCACTGTTATATTTGGTTTTGATGACAGAATCACAAATCATGCACACAAAACATTGGAACATTGGTTGGTTTGCTATTGTAAAGATTGTTGTTAAATCCAAAACTTGGTGTAGCATTTTCTGATCATTCTTCATCAATAAAAACTCGTCAGGATAAGAACCTGAATGATCAGAGAAGCAGTGGAGAAGTGACCAGTGACCTCCTCTCTTTCATGTTCCTCCATTCAGAAGGCCCGAGACCTCTCTTAACTCCACCCTACTGCTTCCTGTGTCTCTCTAAATTTGTCCTCAGTCCTCCAAAACCTCTATGATTAATTTTGGACAGCTAGCTACTAGCTCTGATTCAAAGCAAATTTTATTGGCAGTTTTGGGAGCATCAGGATGCAGTCAAAACACAACAACTTGAGGCTAGAAAAATAACTCAGCTCTTAAGAATGCTTGCTCCTCTCACAGAGGACCAGAGTTTGATTCCCAGCACCCACATTGGGCTGCTCACAACCATGCAGAACTCCGTCTCCAGGGGAATCTGACTCCCTCTTTTGGCCTCTACAGGTACCTGCACATACCCTCCCATAGATACACACACACACACACACACACACACACACACACATACATACACACACACTTCTTTAAAAAATCATGTGATTAAGAACTCTTAGCTCCATTTATTAATGAGAAAATGAATTTAATAAAAATAAGAAATATCTAGTAGTGATACTAGCTGAGGAATCCACACAGACACCCTCATGTTAAACAGATCTTTGTCTCGTTTTCATTCATTTTTATTCTGTGTGTCCAGCATGCTGTCTCATTTGATCCCAACACAGTTTCCTATGTAAGAGAAAAGCAGATGTTTCCACCCAAAATTTGTTTCCTGTAAGCACACAGGTTGGAACTACACTGGCCATGGCATATTTCAAGGCTATCGTATGATATGATAGCCTGGTCTCCTAAGTCCTTGGAATGACTGATATCCACCAGGTGGGAAGTATTAACTTAGTGCTTCCCACCAGAGTGAGGTGTTTGTTGAACAGCATCTGCAGCACTTGTATGTCCCCCAGGAAGAGTCCTGTAAGTGTGGGAATGCAGAGTGCCAGGGCCCTGCCTGTCTGGGACGCCCTCTACTACTAGAGCATCATCATGGATTTAAGTCAAGATGAGCAGGACGAATGGTCCAGGTGCTCGGAGCCTTAGCTCTTCCCCGTCTTCACATATGGCTGTTGGCTAAGGTACAGGATAGCAGCCTCCAGGCCTCATCTCCCCCGTGTCGTCTATTCTGAGCTCATTTAAAAGGATGCTTGGTGTTTATTCTTTACAATTGTGAGCAGATATATTATTTACTTTGACCAGATTCACCCCACGTTACCTTCTTACCCCACCTTTCTGCTCCCTCTGACCCCTTCTTTCCTCAGCAGATCTCCCTCCTACCCTCTAGTCTTTGTTGAGAGACCTACTGTGTTTGATTAGGGTGGCTTCCATAAGCATGGGTGTGGGGGAACATGGAGAACCTACTACTGTCTACGCCACCCAAGAAAAACGACTCCCCTTTCCCGAGCAAAAATCAACTCCCAGGGGCTCCTCAGCTAGTGGTGGGGCCTCGTTGGACCCACTCCATGCTAGAATGCTGCCAGGCTCGTTCTTGTCCAGCTGTGGTGCAGGTAGCCGTGCCTGCTGTGACTCAGGAGTGCAACAACCATGTCGGATCCAGTAGAAAGCATTTGCCCCACTCCTCCCAGATGCTAGTGCCTCTGCCTCCCTCCTCCTCCTCTTCCGTGATGTTCTCGGAGCTGTGGCCCCTTCCCCCAAGACCCAAGGTTACATAGATGTTCTGTTTAGATTTGAGCGCTCAACAGGTGATCATTCTCGGTACTTTGACCTTGTAGGACTCTTCATTGGCCCCCACCCACCTCTGCTCACATTTCTGACTCTTTACAGATGTCTGTTGCTTAAGATGGTCACTCAGTTAACAGCGATGGTCTAAGATTGTCCCTGCCTCCTGGTATAAAATCTCTTCCCTCTTCACCTCTATAGGCACACCTGGGTTCCCCAGACCCTCCTTGTGACTTTCCCACTGCGTTCCTGAAGAAGAACTGCCCTCCATCTAGCTCCTTACTTACACATGTGTGAAGTCCTTTGCACTTATCACTCATTTACCACTCATTCTGAATGGGTTAAGATGGTGTGGTGTGTGTGTGTGTGTATGTACAAATCCTAATCTCTGGGTGGAATCTTTTGGAAGAGATGCAAGAGTCTCTCAAGCCTCCAGAGATGACAGATACCCTCTGTGGTCATTGGACTTGAACTTGTGAGAGGTTTTCCTTAAAGTTATTTGCACATTTTCCCCCATCAAGCTAAGGATAGGTGCCATCTATTGCTGCCTAGAGTAAAAACCTGCTGAGTGGTGTTCTTTTAGGATGACTGGCCAAGTGATAGGACAGCATATCCCAGCCTTCCCTTAGCGCATCATTGTGACAGGACTGTCGTTTGTTCTGTCTTAAGAACAAATACATTGTATAATACTAGAACACTACCCACTGGAGACATTGACACTGGTCCTGAAGGGATTCATCTCAGGTGCTTCCGCTGAGCATCTTGGTGCTTCTCTTCATTCCTTGCCCACTGTGTGCTTTTTAAGTGGCCTCCACAACCTAAGGCAGTGTACATCTTTGATGTCTCCCCACTGTACCATACTGCATGTGGGTGCCTCCCTCACCTTGACCTGTCGTCTCCTCCACAGGTCTACCATCTTGCAGCAGCAGTTCAACCGGACTGGGAAGGCAGAGCACGGCTCAGTAGCACTGCCGGCTGTCATGCGCTCTGGCTCCAGCGGGCCTGAGACGTTCAATGTTGGTAGCATGCCCTCACCGCAGCAGCAGGTCATGGTTGGACAGATGCACCGAGGACACATGCCTCCACTGGTGAGACTCCCTGACTGTTCATCTGTTAACCTCTGGGCCACCAGAGATGGTGACGGGTGGGTTCTGTGTGGGGACCCTGGGCCTCACATCTGAGCCACGAGTCAACGACTGCGCATTCCTGTAATTGCCTGACTACTTGCTTCTTTCCAGAATTAGGGGCTAGAGAGTGAGGGGCCTTGCATGTAGTTACGTTTTTCATTGCAATTACAAATACCTGCCCGAGGCAGTTTATGGAAAGAAATGTATGTGTTGGCTAACAATTTGAGTACAGTCCATTGTGATGAGGAAGGGATGGGCAAGAGTATGAGGCTGCTGATCACATTGTGCATCGCATTAGGAAGCGAACGAGGTGGATGCTGGTGCTCCGATTTCATTTTAACATAGTCCAGGATCCCAACCTGTGGAATAATGCCACCCACATTTAGAGTGGACCTTCCTACCTCAGTTAACTCAAGCTAGAAATTGGTCTACCCTCAAAGATCTGCCCAGAGGCTTGTTTCCAAGGTGATTCTTAATCTATTCACGTTGGCCATAAAGATTTAACAATCACGAACCTCTTTGTGCTGTAGAAACAAAGCCCCATGCCCCTGCAGCAGCTTCAAGTTGACTGGCCCTGATACCCTCACAAAGTGTGAGAAATGGGCTAGTCATCCATGACCTCCCTTTGCAACCTAGTCTTGTTGAAAACTTTCTAATTCATCTGATTCAGTACCACTCAGGCCCGCCTTGGGAATTCCTTGCTATTGGGCTAGTTCTGAGGACTCAAGAATATCAAAGCTTGGAAATCATGCAGCTGGAAAAGCATGTTGGCTCTAAGTTTGGGCAGAGTCCTAAGGATGATCAAGAATCCTTCTTAGGAAGCAGCCATCTGTGTTCTGTGCATGGTATCTTTTATCCACAGTACTCAGATCAACTGTACTCCTGAATTCCCCTGTGAAGATGCTCGTCAGCCTTCTTGTCTGCTAATTAAGCTCTCCACACCCTTCTGATTATAAGCCCTTCACTGCAATCACCTTCGCTTTGTGTTCTATTAATATAATGTGCTATTTCTAGCCCTCAGGTTGAAATGGGAGCTAGTTCAGGTGCGTAATGAGATGTGCTCTTGACTGAGAAGGTTTAGTTTTGTTCTGCTTTGCAAGGGGACCATGTCATTCCCCCGATTCTGCTCACCACCTTGTGTTCGTCTACCTTTCCAGACTTCAGCGCAGCAAGCCCTTATGGGGACCATCAACACAAGCATGCATGCTGTCCAGCAGGCTCAGGATGACCTCAGCGAGCTGGACTCACTGCCACCTCTCGGACAAGACATGGTAAATATCCATCAGTCCTTCTCATCTCGTGTCTCTGTCCTGACTCAGAATAAGGTTACATGCTCTATCTCCAGCTAGCTGATAAAGAAATCTGTGCGTCTCGGTATATGTTGGGTCTTTGATGCTCTATTGCACTCATAGGAAAAGAGGACTGCTGTGCTGAGCTTAGACCCCAGAGTCCATTGATCCCAGCTCCTTTATTCACTGGCTGTGTGAATCTGGGTATCTCACTCCCTCAAGCCTTTCCCCTGTCATCTGTAAATAAGGCTGATGGGAAGGGGTGATGATCCAATTCTTAGCATGCATGTAGCATCTAATAAGAGCTCAACTCAGGTAGCTGGCTTTGTCATTTTAAGTACTGCCAGTAGCTCTCAGATTCAGTACACAATGGGATCCCGTGGATGACTTGTTAAAACTTATCTCTGGGCCCTAGCCCTCATCTTCGCTTATGTTCTGCTCTTAGCATGTGTTTTTGATCTAGTGGGTGTGGGGTGGGGCCTACAAATACGTGTTTCCATCACATGCCTGGGGATACTGGCTGAGTACAGTGTTTTGTCGATGCCTGGCTTAGCTGTATACTACTGAGCCATGCAGCAGGGTGAAGTGATGAGCACTGAGGCCTTCCAGTAGCTGCTGCACAAATCAGCTAATGCCTCACACGTCAAGACGTAGTCTGCAGGAGAGCAGCACTGACATCACCCAGGTTCTTAGGAGAGAAGCAGAAATCCTAGGCCCGTCAGCATCCTCTGTCACTGTGCCTGTTAGCCAGCCGCCCCTGTGATTTGTGGGTGTGCTAAACTTTGCAAAGACCTGACTAGCAAGCTTGCTTCCTGCTGCCTTCTTCTCCCTCCTCTCCTTATTCTGCACCCAAACCACCTGCAGAGCATCACAAAAAAAATCGCAGCTTACACGAATCAGTGTCTCTGTGGGCAGCCCTGGGCACCAGGGCAGGTTTGGTTTGTTTTCCTACCTTTTCTGATGAGCACCATGAGAACCCACCGCTAGAAGATAGACTGATGTCCTTGCAGGGGCCAGAACCGAGATGCATTCTGCAACCTCCTCCTGTGTAGCCGGATCACTTTTTCAAAGTTGTCTCTGAAGGCTGTTTTCCATCTCTGTACCGGTGTGTGTATGTATGGAGGTTGCTACTGCACTCTGTACCATTTCTCTCAAGTCCCTGAATTCCTTATACATTTTTCTCAGGGAACTTGAGAGTGGAAATAAATAGTGGACTCCCCTATCCAGAACAGCTGGGAGACAGGGCTTTAAAATACGTGGCAGTGACTGTCCCAGTTCACCAATTTTTAAGAATTAGAATGTGCTAAGATAATATGCGATTCCCCTAAGCCTAGATCAGTGTCTTACCTACAGGGTCATCATTATCAATAGAAACCATCATTTGAGAGGTGAGCTCTGCAATGCTAGGAAATAGACAGTTTACACGTGGACATAGCCAGGCTTCTGACACAAGTGAAGCTATAAAACAATACTAATCACACATACACCTCTCATAATGTTTTAAGTAAATTTACATTGTTTTGTGTTAAGCTACAGTCATAAGCTATCCTCGGCAATTGTAGCCCACAGTCTTCAGGTTGGACACACCTGATTGGGTGAAACAAAATATAAGAGTTAGGAATACCCTTTGAGTCTCTATAGTAGGGGAAAGGCAAGGCCCAGAACCTGGGTATAGTTTGCCATTGTCCTGTCACCTGATAGAGGCAAAGCAGGCCAAGAGCAGGAGCCTCAGCCCATCTTCCCAGGCACACTGGGAAAAATGCCAGCTGCACATGGCCGTGATACCTGACTTTCTTCATGATAGTTCATGTCATGTCCATAGGAAAAGCTTCAGTGTTGGTCAAGAACCCTTGTGAGCTGACATGCCCAAGTTCTAACTCTGCTGCCTACAAAAGCAAAGTGAAGATTGTCGTCAAGTGTTATTGTACATCCAGAGTTATTGTGAGACATTGATTTTTACTAGCCTGTCCTAATTACATGTAATAACGGCTTTCGTTGTGAATTTTTCATACATATATATAATGTCCTTTGGTCATACTTACCCCATTGCCCTCCCGTATTCTTCTCCCACTCCTGTTGAGCCTGTTCTTTCCTCGTTCATCTTATTTGTTGTTGTTGTTGTTGTTGTTGGATGAGCCAGTGCGTTTACTTAGGGTTACTCACAGGAGCATGGGCGAGGGGTTATGTATGGGAACATGTGGTACTTATTGGTAGCAACACCATGAAAGAAAATGTCTCTCCCTCTCCCAGCAACCATTAAGTGCCTGTCAATCCTCAGTGTAGGGTGACACCTTAGGAGTCTCTCCAGCCTTCCTGATGGACCCAGTCTTGTACAGTTCTTTTTCAAGGAATCTAGCTGCTGAAAGTCCCAAGAGGGTCATGGCCATGTCACGCCCAGAGCCTGCATACTTACAGCACTCTACTTGTCTTACTGTTCTGTTGCTGTGATAACCATGACCGAAGAAACTTATAAAAGAAAGCATTTAAATAGGCTTACATTTCAGAGGGTTGGAGTCCAGGATGTTGGAATGAAGGCCTGGTGCCAGGAACAGCTGAAGTCTCCATCTTGATCTGCAAGTATGAGGCAGAGAGAGGCTTGTTTCTGTCTTCTGAAACCTCCAAGCCTGCCCCCCAGTGAAGCACCTCCTCCAACAAGGCCACACCTCCTAATCCTTTCCAAAGAGTTCTACCAGCTGGGGTCTATCCAAACTTGTGAACCTGTGAGGGCCATTCTCACTCAAACCAGCACACTACTCTTCTCTCCAGCTTTTACATTTTCTCCTTCCCCTCTGCCCTGGGTTCCCTGGGTCTCGGAGGAAGTGATATGATCTTTGACTCTCTTGGTTGTATTCACCTAGATATAGTCATGTCAAATTATTTTTCCTACAAGTTATAAACATCTTTTAAATTGCAATATGAGATACAGAGAATTGATAGACCTTTCAGAGAATTTATAGACCTTTGAACATCTCTGGACATACAAGAAACCTGTTTGGGATATTGTTTAAGATGACTCAGGCATGTTCAGTGCTGGCCCAGCTGGGAGAGTGCAGCCAAATTCTGGTCTCATCCTATGGCTCAACTTCTCTGGTCTCCTGGGCAGTTGAGTGCTATGGTTATGCTGTTCTATTTTCTGGTTTTACAGGCATCTAGGGTATGGGTTCAGAACAAAGTGGATGAATCCAAACATGAAATCCACTCTCAAGTTGATGCTATCACAGCTGGGACAGCTTCAGTTGTCAACCTCACGGCTGGTAAGTCCCTGGGTGTCTTGCATTGTAGTGTGTTTGTGGGGGCGGGGGCAGGGTGTGGGTGTGCGTGTGTGTGTGTGCACGCGCATATTCATTCTTTTGTTGAAGTGACAGATTGCTATACTGTGAGAAGACCATCTATTTTTAGACACTTGGCCTGCTTTAGGCATTTGCTCCAAACGATCCAAGAGAATGTAAGGAACATCACATTCTTTTTTGTTGATATCGTGTATCATTAAAAAGCACTTACTTAGTGCTCATTGTCCATCAGCATGTGAACATACTTCAAAGTCTTTGAGGCCAGTTTCTCCTGTGGAGGGTTTAGAATCTAGAAATGGTCTGGACATGTCAAGCATCTATCCTTTGCCTGTCTTGTCCGGTAGTTGTGTCTTCTGGGGTAGCCTGACTCCCACCCTCACACTGTCTGTTGAGAGCCGGGAAATACCTGGACTTTTGTCTGCAGTGTACCACTATTTCAGGATAGAGTGACCCCTGAGCTGGGGTTATGAGATGCTGATGCATGCATTGGAATTTGAGGTGTGTGTGTTTGTGTGCGTGTGTATGTGTGTGTGAGAGAGACAGGGAGAGAGAGAGACAGAGAAGTCACAGGACAACTTCAGATGTCCCTCCTCAAACACAGTCCTTCTTTTTGTTGAGATGGGTATTTCATTGGCCTGAAACTCTGCAAGTAGTCTAGGCTAGCTCTCCCTCAGGCCTAGGGGTCCACTTGCCTCCATTTCCCCAGCATTAGGATTATAAGTTTATACCATCAGGGCTAGCTCCTTTTTTTTTTTTTAATATATGATATAAATTCTGGGGATTGAACTTGGGTCTTTGTATTTGCAAGGAAAACGCTTTGCTGACTGAGCTATATCTCCCTAGTCTGCTTTGGAACTTTATTTTTTAATTTTTAGTTGCATTTACTCATCAGTGTGGGGTGGGGCTGCACACACATGCCACAGTGCACATGTAGAGAGGACAGCTTTCAGGCGTTCGATCTCTCCTTTCACCATTCAGGTGGTGAGGAACCAATGTGGGTCATCAGAATTAGCAAACATCTTACCTGCTGAGCCCTCTCACTGGCCCCTACTTTGAAATTATATGTACTTGAGAGTTTCGTACCAGAATACACTGTATCCTCATCACTTTCACCACCACCCCTAGCCACTCCAACCCTCCCACTACCTCTCTCACATTTAAGACTCTTTGCTTTGGACGTTTAAAGGAGCCTTGTTCACTCTCTCAGTATGTGAGACCTCCAGATGAGAGGACCTTATTGAAGCCACTCGGAGTCAGGGTGATGGCAATTCACTGAGTTCCTCAGAGTTCTGTATTTGATCCCTGCGCGATGGTGGGGCATGGGCTCTTGCCAGTGGGCGTTGTCTCATCCGTACTGCTTCCAGCCTACCAAGCTAGGCTCTCCTCGTCCATCACCACTGTCCTTTGGTCTTGGTCCTTCTCTGTCTCAGGTGACCCCGCTGATACTGACTACACAGCCGTGGGCTGTGCAATCACTACAATCTCTTCCAACCTGACCGAAATGTCCAAGGGTGTGAAGCTGCTGGCGGCCCTCATGGACGATGATGTGGGCAGTGGGGAGGACCTTCTCAGAGCTGCCAGGACCCTCGCCGGAGCTGTGTCTGATTTGCTGAAGGCCGTGCAGCCTACTTCTGGAGAGGTGAGCCCTCAGGACACATAGTCACATTGAGATGAAAAACTGCATCCCTTCAGATCCATGGAGCTCTGGCTTCCTGAAAGGTTTCTGCCGTCCTCTTTCAGGGTAGTATTGAGTTATTGAAACGAGTCAGATCCTGTGGTTCAACCTCTGGGGAGGGTTGTGCTCCTACTAGGAACCTTCCCAAGAAGGGAATTGAATTAGATCCAGGCTAGTTACTCAACCCCCATGATTAGTACACGAAAGGCATACATATAGGTTTGCAATTGAATTTCTGTATATACCAGCTTTGATCTAATTGTGCAAGACTGATTCATTGGAAGTTTCAAGCACATCTGCCTGTTACTGGTTGATGAGCATTTCCTTGCATCGATCTCAGCAGGATTTTTTTTTCTCCTATCTGGCATACAACCCAAGATCTTCATTTGTGTGTGGGAGGAACCAATCTGTATGATTCCTCGCTATACTGATGTGTGGTGAGACTTAGGAAGAAATTCATTTTCTTTCCAACCAAATCATGTTATCTGTTTGTAGCCTCGACAGACTGTTTTGACTGCTGCGGGGAGCATCGGCCAAGCCAGTGGCGATCTCCTGAGACAGATCGGAGAGAACGAGACGGATGAGCGATTCCAAGTAAGATGTCTGCGGCTTCCCGATCTTGGAAAGGAGTCTGAGTGATGAGTCTGACCTCGAAGGGAGGATGTATTGGAATACAAGCCCGGACTTCCTGGGGCTGTTGAGAATAAGATCAAAAGAGATGATTTGAGTAGTGAGGTCTTTTAGTGTCAGTTAACTGTATATGTTTTTAATGGAAAAACTCAGGTCACATATTATGTGTCACCTTCTAAAATACTTACTGAACCTTTCTAGTTGCTCATCAGCTTCTTGAACATTTTATAAACAAAAAAAGTGGATAAAGCAATCGTGAATCCCTTTCTATTGACTACCCAGCCTCCATACTTCCCATTCTCGGCAAGTCCTGTTTTAGTTTGTGGGGTGTGGTTTCTAATGGCCTCATTCTTTTTGTCATTGGTGGTGTTTTTATTTTGTGTGGGGGTGTTGGTGTGCTTGCATGTGTGTGCACATGTGTGTAGAGGCTGGAGGTCAGCCTCTGATGTCATTTCTCAGGATACTGTTCACCTTCTCTTTGTTTTTGAGATAAAGTTTCTCACTACGACCTGGGAATTGCCGATTGAGCCATGCTGGCTAGCAGTCAAGTGCCAGAGATCTGCCTCCCTCAGCCTGCCCAGTACTACATGCACCACCATGCCCACTGAGCAAGATCTCCAACTCTGGCCTTTCCTTTACTTTTTAGAAGGTCTTTCCTAAGTTACTGTCTTCTTTAAAGTAGGGTCTGGGTATTTAATGCAGGCGAACCCAGCAAGCACTTGATGACTGAGCTAAGAGCTTGCTGTGTAGTGTGCGACACCCCAGCTGAGAAGTCATTTTTGTGACCCTTACTTTTCAGTGCTAGAGTCTTACACTGCTTGTCCTCTGCCGAGCAGCTGATGCTACTGTCTGCAGCTGGTTTGATTCCCTGCCAGCTTCACGACACTGAAGCTCGGACGAGAGCTCAGCTTGTCTGCCTCCTTCTGACCCCACAGTCGGTGTTGAGGACTAAGACTGAGATGGTAGGCCAGGGTGAGCTCTGCTCATATAACTGAAGGCCAGGGCCTCTTATTCCTCTTTAAAGATCTCTGATTTCACAAGTAATACAAAAGTCCATTCCAGTTAGAATATTAAATTTCTAAGCTGGGCTTCCTGAAGAATACCCTTATCTAGATCTATCCAATCCATTGTCTGATGATTCCATTGAATTTCACTGGCCTTTTTACTTTTGTATTTCTCTCATTTATGTGAACGTGTGTCTCTGTGTACACGTGCATGTGTATGAGGGTCCCTCAAGAGGCCAGAAGAAGGTGTCACATCCCCTGCAGGTAGAGTTACAGTTAGTTTTGAGCCACCCAAAATCTGTGGTGGGAACTGAACTCAAGTCCTCAGCAACAGCAGCAAGTGCTCTTAACCACTTAGCTGGTTTTCGACCCCTTTTATTTCACTTTGGGCAACGCGGTCTCAGGTAGCCTCAGCTATCTCCAGGCTCACTATGGATCTGAGGTTGACTTTGAAATTCTGGTCTTCCCGCTTTCATCTACATGCTGTGATTACAGGCATGCGCCACCATGACTTGCTTATGTGGTCCTGGAAACGGAACACAAGATGTTCCATTCATGCATGGGAGGCAAGCACTCTACCAACTGAGCTATATGCCCAGCTCTGGCTTTACTTTTTAGAAACTGTTTCTAAATTATTATATCATAATGCAATATGTAACTATATGTGAAACACATAGAAATCAGAAATCACAAAATTTCAACTGTATAAGAACTAACACTGTACATATCACTAAATTCAGAAAAATAACATCTCTTTAAAAAAAAAAAAAGATTTGTGCATGTATATACATGCTCGGTCTTCATGAACATCTGTACTCCAGAAAAGGGCATCACATCCCATTATGGACAATTGTGAATTACTATGTGGGTGCTGGGAATTGAACTGAGAACCTCTGGAAGAGCAGCCAGTGCTCTTAACCATTGATCCATCAGTCCAGCCTGGAAACAAAAAAATCTTTTTATCAACCACTTGATACCTTAAATACATCCTTCCCATAATGCAAGAGGATGCATTTTTGGCTACATCCCCTTTGACTGCCTCTTCATCGGTTACTGACATAATGTTTTCTAGAAAGAGATTAAACAGTTTCCTCTCTCTTAGCTTTCCCTGACATTCTGGCTTTTTACCTCATAGATGGCCATGTGCCACTTGTCTCAGTTAGGGTTACTATTGCTATGATGAAACACTATGACCAAAGCAACTTAGGGAGGAAAAGGTTTATTCAGCTTACACTTTCACATTGTAATCTGTCACTGAAGGAAGCTAGGACAGGAACTCAAACAGGCCTGGAACCTGGAAGCAGGAGCTGATGCAGAAGCCATGGAGGGATGATGCTTACTGGATTGCTCAGCCTGCTTTCTTATAGAACCCAGGACCACCAGCCCAGGGATAGCACCACCCACCATCAATCACTAATTAAGAAAATACCTTACAGCTGGATTGTGGGGCAGCATTTTCTCAGTTGAGGCTCCCTCCCTTCAGATGACTCTAGCTTGTGTAAGTTGACATAAAACTAGCCAGGATACCATTTTCTCTAGAATTGCTGGGACAGGATGTGTCACATGGACTAAATCATGATTATATGTGTGACAAGAAACTTACACTTTCATCCATAGTAGTGTCTGTGTCTCCTTCCTGTCCCTGTACTTGTGGTTCTGGGACCCCAGGACCATTCATGTCCTGAGGTGCAGTAAGGTGTTCAGTACACAGCAGAGGCTGGGTCCCAGTAATAGCTTCCTGAAAGTCATTTCTCCACTGAGATTTCCAGGAGCCAGGAACCATGTGCAGAATTCACCGCGGACCACTTAATAAACCCCAATGATGCCCGCTTTTGTCCCCATCCTGATTCCCTTTCAGATCTCCATGCTGTCTTTGTGCTGGGCTCACATTTTATATTGGTACAGGTAATTCTCCTAGGCAGATAACTCTTAGGAATTTGGTCTATATTAGATTCAGCTGCTAGCTTGCTAGGCTTCATTACCTTTAAGCACTCAATTTACTTTCCTCAAAAGTATTGCTTTCTGGGGATTGGGGATATAGTGTGGGTAATAATGTACTTGCCATGAAAGCATGAGGACCCAAGTTAAATCCTCGGTTCTCATGTTTAAAGCTGGGCGTACACAGTAGTATGTATTTGTAATGTCAGGACTAGGAAGACGGAGATGGAAGGATCCCCTAGGACTCACTTGCCTGCCAGCCTAGCCAAATTGGCAAGCCTATGGTCAGTGAAAGACCCTATCTCAAAACAAACAAACAAAAAACAAGGTAGATCGCTCCTGAGGAATGAATGGTACCTGAGCTTGTGCTCTGGTCTCCACATTCATGTGCACACCCAAAAGCAATACTTTATCTGGTGTCGAGGGCGGTAGAGGAGATGCTGTGGATTCCCATAAGGCATGCCACTTGCCCCTGCGGTTTCCTGAAGCTTTGCATCCTCTCTCTTCCCTGGATGGATTGTCTGCAGTGTTCAGATGCAGACTCCGCCTCCTGTCTGTTTCTCTTTGGCCTTGCTAGGGAGGCAGGTTCAGGGACAAGGTGGAATGCTCTGGAGAGTGGAGTCTTAAGGTGAGGACAAGTATGGTAACATGAGCTCCCCGGCCTCCTGCAGTCATGGGTCCACCTGGCACTGGGTGTCCACTCTGTTTTTCTGTGTCTTGAGTCCCAGGGTGGAGCCTTTCTTGGGTTCTCGACGTACTGCATGTTCCCAGAGCTGACAAGGATTTATTTCACACAAGCCACACAATAGTGGACTGATTGAAAACTCTGACAAAGACCTGGTCAGCTGCTCTAACTGCAGGATCTCGTTCTTTTCCTGTTTGTTTTGGACAAAATTAATAGAAACAACAGAATTTCTTTAAATGACTCAAAACAAAGTCCTTTGTGACAATCGTGGTTGTGGGTGACCCAGTCTCGGTCCCAGTGTGAGCAGATGGATTCATATTCCATGAAGTAATGTTCTGATTGGCTCAGAAAGTTATGCTTAAAAGTCTTGCTAGTAATTTGTGACATCCAAATTGCTTTTAACCTGAATTCAGAGACAAATGTCCAAGATCGATGCGGGGGGGGCGGGGGTAAGGGGAGGCATATTGGGAACAATTTTGAGAGTTGTGCAGCAGATAAGTGCCCCTTGACTCCTGAAAGTGTCATTGGCCTTTTCTTCCACACACAGACACTGTCGCAGACCCATGAACGGCCACAGTAAATGGTTCCTTTAAGGCCACTTTATTTTTGTCCGTTTTAAAATCAACTTTTCTTTTCCATTTTATTACATTTGTGTGTGTGTGTGTGTGTGTGTGTGTGTGTGTGTGTGTGCGCGCGTGCGCGCACACGTACTTACTGCTTTACCACTGCATACATGAGAAGGTCAGAGACGCCTTAGGGAGTCTCCTTTAGTCATAGGGTTCCCAGAGACCCACCTCTGGTCATCAGGTGTAACAGCCAGTGTCTTTTCCCTAACGAGCCTTCTCTCCAGCCCCAACAGCTTCTTTAGGCTCTTGACTGCTTTTTAGCGTTGCCTGGGTCACATGTATTCGTCACCAGTGTAAACTGTACAGGCTAGACACCGTTTCCAATATATTTTCTCATAAAATCTCTCATTGTAAAGACCCTATGGGTACCTTTGATGTTTAGAACCAAACGTGCTTTTTTTTTTTTTTTTTAACATTATCTGATGAATAACTAAAGACTTCTGACCACTCCTCTGGAGAAAAGCTTTGCTCCAAGTAACAGTGACTGGGAAAGCATTTCTAAATCACATAAGCTGCTTTCAATATGTGCGGCACTGAAGTAAATTAAATGTAAAAGTGGTTCCTCTTCAGGTCGGACAGATGGGTGACAGACCTGGCAGTTGTAACCAAGGGATCCTCCCTCCTGCAGGAGGATGCCCTTCATAAACAACTCTAAGCTCTCATCAGCGCTGGCATCCTTTGCTAGATAAGCTTGTTGTTTTGAGATAGGGTTTCATGTGGTCTAAGCTGGCCTACCAGGTTAGCTCAAGACAACCTTAAACCTCGGGTCCCCTGCTCTACCTCCCAAATTCTGGGATTGCAGGAAGGCACCACCATAGCTGGTTCATAGGGATGGCACCCAGGGCTTTGTCTCTGCTGGGCAAGTAGTCTCCAACTGAAGCATTCCCACACCCCCACCCCCCACACACGCCCCATCATCTTGCCGCTGGTTTATTTATGCAAGTTCTCTTCTGCTTTGCATAATCCAATCCCTATGCAGAAGGTTCCAGACACTGAGAATAAGTTATATTCAGAGCAGTCTTTGGCTCTCCAACTGTAGGACTCGGTGCTATCAATTTGTCTGGGTGTGTTATACGTTGCTTTCTGGAGGCGGAGGAGCAGCTGACTTTTGGATCCTAACAAGCTAGATGTCCAAAAGATAAATTTTCAACTTACTCTGGGGCATGACAACTTGGAGGTCATGATTTAATGCCTACCTCCTGCAGGTGGTATTGGTGGCGTCTGAATATGTATTCAGTTTCTCCTGACGCCACACATCCATCACACGTACAAGAGTCAAGAGTCAATGGGAGAACATGAATGTGAATCAGCAGTTAAACCCTTCCTCTTTCAGCTGGTTTGTTTTCGTGTTTAAATTTGTGTGTGGTATTTTGGGGGATCTATATACGTGCTCGTGTGTGTGTGTGTGTGTGTGTGTGTGTGTGTGTGTGTGTGTCTGTCTGTCTGTCTGTATGTATGTATGTCTGTTTGGCACACATGCACATACGTGTACACATGAGTGCCAGAGTTCAATGTCAAATGTCTCCCTCAGTCACTCTCCACCTTATTTTTCGAGACAGTCTGTCTCTGGATGAGAAGCTCACTGATTAGAGTAGCTGGCTGACCAGCCAGCTCCAGGGATCTACCTGTCTCCGTCCTGACAGCACATTTCAAGCGTGTGCACTTTGCCTGTGGCTTTTTAACGTGTGCACTGGGGATCCAGCCTCAGGTCCTGGTGCTTGCATTTTAATGACTGAGCCATTCCCCCAGCCCCTGACCTGTTTTATGTGGAAACCTGTGCTACTCACTGTCTACAGGGACAGATTTGGTTATTCAATACAAGGGTTGTTTTTTTTTTTTTTTTCTTAGTTTCTTTGGAGGATGAGCTGGCATTTCAAAAAATAAGGGAAAAAAAATTGAAGGGGTGAAGGTAAAAACCAAGTGGAATTTTAATAGAAAGTCTGGGTGCACTCCACGCAGTTTTAGTGTTTGAAGGGTGACTTAAAAAAATAAATAAATGAATGAGTCGCTTTGGTCCCCTTTTCTTAGGATGTTTTAATGAGTCTGGCTAAAGCTGTTGCCAATGCGGCTGCCATGTTGGTGCTCAAGGCGAAGAATGTGGCCCAGGTGGCTGAAGACACCGTCCTACAGAACAGAGTGATCGCTGCAGCCACCCAGTGTGCTCTTTCCACCTCCCAGCTTGTGGCGTGTGCCAAGGTAAGCCAGCTGGCATGCCATCCCTTCCTACAGCGCCATGTACTCGGACCTGCCACCCATCATTAAGTAGCCTGAGGTCTGGAGCTTGCTTCAGATGGCTTCTTTGGGGGGACATGATAGAATTTGTGTTTGTTTGGGTTCTTTGGGGGCGGGGGGGGTTGTTTTGGTTTTTGTGGGAGTGGTTGGAGGTTGAGACAAGGTTCTCGCTGTGTAGCATGGTTCTCTTGGAACTCTCTGTGGAGACCAGGCTGGCCTTGAACTCACAGAGATCTGTCTGCTTCTGCCTCCCGAGTGCTGGAATCAAAGTTGTGCACCACCACAGCCAGCCAGCCATGCTAGGGTTTTAGTATAAGCTGTCTAATTGTCTTTATTGATGCCTCACCTGTTGTTAGAGGCACGATGCTGTGCCTCCCTTTGGGCCTCTTAATGCAGTGCATAAAAGAGGCTTTGCAGTGGGTGCCACAGTATCGTACAGGGGTTCATACTGAACCCACAACTTCTTGGGGAGGCCTAATCGTCCTTGCTGTGAATGGCTCCAGGGTGTGTTCATTGTGTCAGAATCATGTGATTGGGTTTGCCCAGCAGTCCTGCACACCGAGCCCCATTCACCTTCATTTACTGACGAGGAGCCTGAGAACGCTCGGTGTGAGTGAGGGGCTTTCCGTCATGGAGATAAGCAGCAGAATTGGGGTTATGACTCAGACCTGCCTGACTCCAGGGGCCCTTCCATTCCATCAGGCATGTCTGCTTCTCTGAGGATGGGGCTTCTGCTTCTGGACTTTCCATCTCCTGCCATGTAGATCTGTGATTGAAAGGGTGGCATTTCCCACCTGGGATAGGATTTGGAGCATTCAAAGGCATTCTTAGTGAGGTTCCTGCGGGCCCTGGAGTCCACAGATAACTAACAGACTTTCCCTAGTCTTTGAGGAAACCCAGGCGGAGTTTTAGATGGCCTCTGAGAAATACATGCAATTCTTTTAGGTAGTCATTTGCCTTGTCTCAGCCTAGAAGATTCACTCAGAGGAAAAGCGTATAATTGGTAAATATCAGGACTTTGTCCTTATTTAAGTGCTAGGTAATGAGGACTGCCGCACATGACTAATTAGCAAGATTTCTCAAATCACAAAGGAAGTGTCATAGTGTGGGGGTTACCCCACTGCATGAGTTGAGTCCCTTGTATGTATGCTAAGTGAGGGTCAGAGGGACCTGAGGGAGATGCTGGGCATTCTGGGACACCAGGAACATTCACTGCAGCAAACCTCTCTGTATCTTTCCAGGTCGTGAGCCCCACCATCAGCTCTCCTGTGTGTCAGGAGCAACTGATAGAGGCCGGGAAGCTGGTGGACCGCTCTGTGGAAAACTGTGTCCGTGCCTGCCAGGCAGCCACTGGCGACAGTGAGCTCCTGAAGCAGGTCAGCGCGGCGGCCAGCGTGGTCAGCCAGGCCCTGCACGACCTCCTGCAGCATGTGCGGCAGTTTGCCAGCCGCGGCGAGCCCATCGGCCGTTACGACCAGGCCACCGACACCATCATGTGCGTCACCGAGAGCATCTTCAGTTCCATGGGTGATGCTGGTGAGGCACTGGTTTGGGAGAGGAGGGACTGGATAGGTGTGGGGTTTCCTCGTGGTGACAGTCACTCTGGAGGAACTGGCAAGAACAATAGTTCATCTTCCTTAGTCCAAAACTTGCACGCAGCGGCACAGAGAAAAGATCCAGGAGTCCTGACAACCTCTTCCAGAGCCGCAGTTAAAAACCACATCAGCATTTTTGTTATTTGAATTTATAGTATTAATAAATCCTTTTATCCCATATGCAGGATATAGTTGGTAAAGTCAGAGCAGCCACCCAAGGAATCAGGAACATGTGGAGATCCACTAGAGATCATCATCGTGTCCTGTCCCTGCCCCCACCCCTACCCCACCCCCAAGGTCACTGTAGAGAACCAGAAGGGACAGTAGATAGCCGATGGGTCTGAAGGAAGGGTCTAGACCATGCTCCTGGTTAGCATTTCCTGGGGAGGTGTAGGGTGGAGCATTTTGATATACTATAATCATGCTGTAAATTAAAATTACATATGCAGTATACCTTTTCAGCCTGTTGAAAAGTCACCTGCTCTGAATTCATCAGGTCACTGTGCCCTCTTGATCCCCAGAACTGACCGCTTGATTTTTGAACTGATATATGGTAAAACGGCTGCTGTAGTAAACAAGTTAGCATACCCATCACCTCACAGCTCCTAGAACCTCTCTACCTTTAAAGGTTGTGTATAGAGAGACAGATGAAGGCCTTTCACAGCTTATAGAAATGTAATTGTGTTATGCATACTATGAATTTTTCCATACATACCTATACGTCCCTGTTTGGTTTTTTAATGACAGGATAGCATTCCACTTTGGAGTCGTCATCATCATACATTTAACCAGTTATCCTGTTCTCTCAGTGCTAGGGATCAAACCCAGGGAGAGCTCTGGCTGCATGCTGGGCAAGCACTCCGCCACTGAGCTTAGCCTCCGGCCCTCCGACTGTGTGTCTGTTAATAGACATTTAGTTTCCAAGTTTGTTTTGCTCTTATAAAAATGTTCCTACATAGAGCCTTCTTAAAAATGTGTCTTCCCTGGCTTTCAGTTGTGTAGGTGGCGGCAGTGCCCGTCTGTGGAATTGCCCAGCCAATGGATACATGGATTTTTGAAGTTTAAACTTCTTAATGAAATTTCTTCTAAAAAGGATTTGCAACCCTACCAACTGCCTGTCAGAGGTCCTCTGCCTCTTGCTTTGCCAGTGTCCAACGTGCTTTATAATGAGTTCTGAGAGGTGGTCCTTTTGTTTAGCAGCGTTTACAGACAGACTCTCCTCTGTATTCAGGACCACTAGCCTTGAACGTGTGATACTCTGTGCTGGCCTGCGATGGCCTGGGATTCCAAGTGTGTGCCACAGGCCTGGCAAGTGTTTGGTAGTTGTTGAGAAAATGATCTTGCCCCCTTTTACATGCTTCTTAAGTTACTAAGTAACCGGGAATGCTGCATACAGTTGGATTTTGTGCTCATGCTCTTCTCATTTGGGGCTTGTTATTTTATGGAAACCTTTTATTTTAGAATAGTTCTAGCTTTACCTTTTTTTTTTAAGTTGCAAAGGTAGCAGAGCCCCATCTTTCCACTTCCTCCCGTGTCTAACATCTTCTCTAACTCGCGACACATTTGTCAAAGCATCTGTGGGCATGTCCCTGTTCACCACCCACAGTGCTCGGGTTTCATCCGTTTTCCCACTTGTGTCTTATTTTTTTTTTCCTGTCCCTCAATGCCATCGAGGTCACCACGCTGATTTTAGCATGTCTGTATGTATAAAAGCTTGTCTCCCCTCAGACAAGCTGTGGGAGAGGAACCAGTCCTTTCTCTGGGGTGGTTTCACTTTTAATGTTGCATCTTAATAGACCTCCCACTTCCGAAAGAAAGTTGGAATAGACTTTCATAAAGTCTCAGGCACAGCAAGGACAACTAGTAATAAAAAGCTCCAAACCGGGAACTGGGCAATGATGGCGCACACCTGTAATCCCAGCACTCGGGTGGCAGAGGCAGGCGGATCTCTGTGAGTTCTAGGCCAGCCTGGTCTACAGAGTGAGATCCAGGACAACTAGAGCTACAACACAAAGAAATCATGTCTTGAAAAAAAAAAACAACAAACTCCAAGCCAGGAACTGGAGTGTAGCAGTTTGGTAAAATGTTTGGCTATCCTGCAAGAAAACCTTGGGTTCAGCCTCCAGCACCTCATAAACTGGGCATGGTGATGCTTGCCTGTAATCCCAGCACTAAGGAGGTAGAGGCAAGAGGATTAGGTGATCCTTGGCTGTATAGTGAGTTAGAGGCTGAACATGAAACCCTGTTTCAAACAAATAACAACAATTAATAAAAAAAAAAAAAAAACCTTCCTGACCGCTGAGATCATTCTCAGACAGAATGGTAAATAAACAACCCATATCTGCTGTCCTGTCCTCCAGGTGAGATGGTGCGCCAGGCCCGGGTGCTGGCCCAGGCCACGTCCGATCTTGTCAATGCCATGAGGTCAGATGCGGAGGCTGAGATCGACATGGAGAATTCCAAGAAGCTCCTTGCAGCTGCAAAGCTCTTGGCTGACTCCACGGCCCGCATGGTGGAAGCTGCAAAGGTAAGGCATTTGGTCTTTCAGCTTGAAATGCAAACACTGTTGAGTGTTAGGCTTTGAAGCTTACCTTCAAAGGTGAAGGATGGAGTGTGGATTTCTCCTTGTTGCATGCTTGAGTCGCTTTGCAACATTTAACGCACTTAGGGTAGCAGAGGAGTTGTTGAACATGAGAAAGAGGTGCTGACTAGGCACAGACGGCAAAGCCACCACTGCCGACATCGTGAATTTTCTCATTGCTGCGACAAAAGTGCCTGTCGAGAGTAACTCAAGGGAGGAGGGGTTTATTCATGGTGGCAAAAGCAGTTGCTGCCTAGTCACGTCGCATCCTGGGCATGGAGCAGGTAAATGCTGGTACTCAGCTGCCTTTCCATTTTCAGTCTGGGACCCCAGCCCCATGGAATGGGGCTGCCCACACCCAGGGTGAGTCTTCCCACCTCAATGAACTCAGTCTGAAAACTCCTTCACCCACGTGCCCAAAAGGTTGTTTCCATGGTGATCCTAAATCTCATTAAGTGGACGATCAAATTTCGGCATCATGTTTTGTCTCAAAGGCAATAGAAGAGTGTCCTCCCCCTGTGTTAACTTCAGCCTTTCATGACTTCAGAATTGTACATATCTAACTAAAACTAGCAAGATTCTGAGGACAGGCTCAACTAAAGTACCATGGTACAAGGGCTGTAGACCTACACAGAGGACACTGGTGACAGCTACGTGGGTACCTACCACGCTCTTCTGCCAGCCTGAGTACAGTTGGGTACCAGCTGTTTTTCTCAGTTCTCCCAGAATACTCTCTAAAGACATGATTTCTTTGCGTGGCCTTTAGCAAACTTTCCTTGAGGGTCTTTTTGTAGGACATACTACCCCTATGGCCTCCCCACCCCCTCTCACCATGCTCCATTCAAGCCCTTGTTTTTCCAATGGAATCTTCACTTTCCATATTTACTTTTGCCTTGAAATGTTCCAGCAGTGATGTGAAGACATGAGCCATCAAGATCTGTCATACCAGTTAGGATCAAGTCTTCCTTGAGAAAGACTTTTGCTTACACATTGTTCTCATATCTGACGGGGAGAGATTTATCAGAGCCTATTTCTTCAGATCAAAAATTGAAATTGACTCATAATAGCATACACCGCTGTCCATCACTGTAAACATTCACTCTGTGTGCTGTGTAGTTAGTTGTTCTCGGCCATAGCTTGCACTCTGAGCTCCAGAACTTAAGAGGTCACTCCCAGCTATACCCTGAAGCGGCTCACTGTTATCCATCCTATGTCTGTCTGTCTGCCCCTCCCTCCATCCTTCTTGATAAAGACCATTCTGTTTTCTCCTACAGTGAGATTCACTCTTTTTTTGTTCGTATTGACCTTTCAGTGTTTGACATAGTAGTAATTCAAATCGGCAAAAAGGGAGTGTTTTTTGGTTTTGTTGTTGTTGTTGTTAAGTAAATGATGCCCACACAACTGTTCTTCATCCTTTGGAAGAAGATTTCCAGAGCCCTTTATCTTACAAGATTTATAAAACTAAACTCCAGAATAGAAGAAGATATATTTCTTTTTACTTAAATTTTAGCTGATACATAAAGAAATATAAAACATATATACTAATGTGGTATTTTTTGATAATGCCGTGTCTTTGAAGCCTTGAGGTTTTGAAATTGTAACTACAAGATAATTTGTATACATATCCAAGACTGTGACTTACAGTGTTACTTCTTACAGTTGGATTGTATAGCCATGAGGTTGGATCTTTAGTATAAAGATAGTGTTTATAGAGGCTGGGAATGTAACATCTGGGAGGCTGTGGGTTCAGTCCCAGCAACACAGCCTGGTGTGGTACACAGCTATATATCCTAGCTTACAGCTTTCTATTCCAAATACTATTCATTATTAGTTAGAAGTAAAATTAAAGGCATGCATTTAGCAACTGTAGCCTCCTGCCCCTGGGGTACCTGAAATGTCTGTCTCCACCTTTGCAGGGGGCTGCAGCCAACCCAGAGAATGAAGACCAGCAACAAAGGCTGAGAGAAGCTGCCGAAGGTCTCCGAGTAGCCACCAATGCTGCTGCCCAGAATGCTATTAAGAAAAAAATTGTCAACCGGCTGGAGGTCAGGAAAGGGGCTGGCTTTTAGGGTGCCATATGTGATTGCAAAGAGTTACCTGGGGAAAAAAAATCAAATCACCAAAATGATGCCTGTATAAAGAATGCCAAATCAAAGTGAGCGATGTCGGATCGTTTGGGTACTTTAAAAGAATTGACACAATTTGAAAAATTGCTTTAGTTCATAGCTGCCAAAGGCTCGGGTTCAGAGTTCAACATTCAGAAATAGAATGCTGTCTTTTCGCAGGAAGATTGGGGTTCTTTTTTCCCGGCATTAAAGGATACATTCAGCAGACCAGTCCTGCGAAGTTCCTATTCTGTTGGAGGCAGTGACTTTTCCTAGGCTTCCTGTTGAGCAGTTTAGACTGGTGCTAGGGAACAGGGGGAGACCGAGGAGGGGGGAAGACTAAACTGTTGTGTCATTTCTTTTCAGAATCTTTACTCCAATTAAAGAGTTGGAAATAACAGACAAAAACTACCTAAGAAAAACATGTCTTTACATGGATGTTTATAGGAGACGCTCAAACTAAGATGGGGAGGGATGGAGGCCAAGTTACCTGGCTGTCTAATGAAGAGCCCCTCCACAGGCAGTCTGCTGGGCTCTGGAAGACAACTAGCCTCCTCATTGGAAGGAGATGACAGCTAGAACTGGTTTAATTACCTCGGGGGGCGGGGGGTGTCAGTGTGAGCTGAGGTCTGGGTGCTGTGAGAGGAGGGACGTGGACACCTCCATTGACGTCAAGAGCAGCCTGTGCTTCATGGGGAGATTTTCTTTCCCTGGAGCATCAAGACTTGATGCTGCTTGCCAGTGCCATCCCAGCACTGCAGTTGTCTCTTGTCTTTCGTATTTTAAATTTCCACTTATTCTTTGATAACTTTGTACGTGAATGTATTTAGATCATATACACGTCGCACTCTCCAACTCCAACTCCTGGACTATTTCTCGATATCCCCTTCCTAATTTCATGCCACTGGAAGCTGCCCAGCACCTCTGCTTCCTCCTCCTCCTTCCTCTAATAATAATAACTCACCCAGTCCAAATCATGCTGCTTGTATGTGCATGGGCGTAGGCTCCATCCAGGGAGCATAGGCGGCATATGATGAGCTACACAGAGAAGAAAGCTGACTCTTCTTTCCCCATCGGCCATCAGCTGCCAATAGCTCCTTGGCTAGGTGTGGGGTTCATGGGCCTCTTGCTCCATGCTGAGGAGTTGACTGACTGGCTTCATCATTTGCAAGGCTTGGGGAACATCAGGGTGGAAACGTTGAAGGGCCAGAGGTTAGGGAGGCTTGCGGTGAAATAATGTCTTCTAGATGTACCAGGGCTGTTGTGCTCATGAATTCACAGACACCTGTGGTGGCCAGTATAAGACTTGCAAAAGATCAAGCCAGTCTTTTACAAAAAGCAGAGGAGGTGAGCTTTCCATGCCTTCCGGCCTTTACCACTTCATCCAGGAGTGCAGACCCACGGCAGGCAGTGAAGAGCAAGAAGGTTGAGACCATCGGTGGCCGTATGACTTTGCAAGTACGATCTTGAACTGACCTGTGTCACTGTCCTCTGTAGGTTGCAGCCAAGCAGGCTGCAGCTGCTGCCACGCAGACCATCGCAGCCTCCCAGAATGCAGCTGTCTCCAACAAGAACCCCTCAGCCCAGCAGCAACTGGTCCAGAGCTGCAAGGTAAGCTCCCCGTGCGCCGAGGGCCAGGTCTGCAACGTATTACTGATAGCATTAGATCTCCACATGCCCTGGTAATTCACTTAAGGCAGGTCTTCCAGGCTCCTAATCCGGTTTGCAGTGGCTCCATGCTCCAGGTGTACACACGTCTGGTTTTTGTCCATTAAGTGGATTGCCTGTGTTTGGAAGGAGTGTCTTTTCTCCAGCGTTATCTTTCCTTTATCCACATCATTTTTAAGAGACTGAATTAAATAAAGAGAATCGATGAGGCCATTTCAGAGCTTTGAAATAGAAACTGAAATGAGTCCTTGGCTTTCCAGAGTCACTTCCCCTCTGGGAGGCTGGTCAAATCCAGTCTCTGTGCACTCCAGCGGGTTGGCTCCCTGCTTTCTCATCGGGGTCTGCTTTGTCCATCTGCCTTCTGTGGCCTCATGTTCTGGTGCTTTCTGTTACTTGCTGCTTGTTTGTCTCTGTTTTTCTGGGGCGGGGCGTTGGTGTTGTGTTGAGGCCAGCTCACCACAAACATTCTCTCTGTCCACCAAGAGGTTGACTCTCCCAGGACACCTTTGATGGGTAGGTACCACACACATCCTCTTGCAAAGCCATTGTCCACCCGTGACGGGGCATCCTGCTGGAGTCTCCTGAGAGTGTTGGCAGTGGAGGCTAGCGACAGGCATGTCTGATTGTGCCAGTGTTCTGACAGTTAACCTTTTCTGACTTTTCCTCCAAATCTCTAAAAAAAAATAAGTCATCTGGAGGGAAATGCCACTTCTTCAGCTGGGGCCGTGCTTCTGAGGGAACTCAGTTCTACTTCTGAAATGGCCGCCCTGCTGGGGAAGAGTTGCCTGGAGCTCACTATTCCTGATTCTGATTTTTCCGAGGTCCCTTCTTAGAGTTGACTGTGTTATAGGGGGAAGAGAGAGCATCATTAGTGCACGAGGGTCTGAGGTCCTTTGTGCTTAGGATCTGTGGAAGGAGAAGAGCTTGCTGAGGGTGAGGCCTCTGCTCAACCAGTAGAGTTCTTTCTTGCACCATGCAGCTGCCAGCAGGGTGGGAAAGTGGCCTTCTCCGTCCTCTGGGGCCACAAGCCGCTCATGTCTGGGGACCTGTTGTGGAGTCAGCCTTCTCTCCCTCTTTGCTAAAAGGACTGAAGCTATTAGATCTCTGAGCATCCCTGCCAGGAAATGAGAGGGATGCCAACCAACAGACTGAGTTGAGAGGGAAAATGGACCACGTTTCTGGAATCAGCACTGGAAAGGACCTGGGCACTTGTCCATAGGGATATTTTTAAGTAATTTTACACTCTGGCTGGCAGGTGGAGTATGGACCCCAGGCCAAAATGCGCTGGGGACCTTCACCCGTACCTTTTCCAGTGGTGGTCCTCAGACCTCTGAAGCCTGCTCCATCAGGGGATAATTAGGAAGAGCACAAGTAGATGATCTGGATGGTTCCTAAGACACCCCTGGAGGTGATTGGCATACAGTAGTCCTGCTTTGCCAAGTATGGCCCCGCTCTCCCCTGTTTCGGGCTTTCTCATTTGAGAAATGCTGGAACAGAAAAACAGGAGAGATGCCCATGTGTATGCGGGGGGCCCACAATCCATACCTGCAAAGTCAGAGGTCTGAGCCCTGAAACAGGCTGGTTCATGAACCTCTCCCCTTACTTCTTCCAGCCATGGGGCCATCTGACTCAGTTTACCTACCTGTAAATTCTGTATTCTTTGATTTTTGATCTTTAGTCCTCACAGCCAGGAGCCTATGAGTTTTGACTACGAAAGTTCTTTCAAGGCTTTGTTATAGAGGGTGGTCTATCAAATATCCTGAGACCATTAGGACTACTGTTAAAGTGGAGGGGTGGCGAGTCGGAGATGTGGGGACAGGGATTCCGTATGGGGAAGAACCCCACTGGCTAAGTATGCTCTTTAATTCAACTTCCAGTACTGCTGTCCCCGGGTGTGGATCACGCTTTGTATGCTCTTTAACCCAACTTCCGGTACTGTTGTCCCCGGGTGTGGATCACGCATCAAAAAGCAGCGCTTGGGGTCCTTTCCCTGCCCCTTTGCTAGTTTGTCCTCTCTGCGCATGCTCAGTTCCCATTTTCTTGCTTCTTGCAGGCAGTGGCCGATCACATCCCTCAGCTCGTGCAGGGGGTGAGAGGGAGCCAAGCTCAAGCAGAAGACCTCAGCGCTCAGCTGGCCCTTATCATCTCCAGCCAGAACTTCCTGCAGGTAACAGACATCAGCAGCGTGGTCACTTGCAGGACCCCCAGCGGGCAGTCTGCCTTTTTTTGTCCTTGGGAAGGGAACATACCTGTGCAGACCCCATAGCCTTGGCTAAGTTTTTGTCTGAGCAGCTGCAAGGCCTCTTTACATTTCAGGAGAGGGAAATGTCACTGGCCAAGGGAAATGCTAACGGTCAAAGCATGTGCCCGGGGGTTGGTTTTCAAGTGCCTCCCACACCTCTCCTATACAGAGATAAAACACAGGTGTTTTAGTCTACTTTCTTGAGTTTTTATTACACACAGAGAGAAACACCAACAGGTTTGTGGGGAGGATGTATAATCTTTTCTTTAGTGTTAAAGATACCTTTATTAATTCGTTGAGAATTTCACACAGTGCAATTTGGTCATATTCACTGAACTCCTCACCTTGGCTCCTTCCAGACCACTCTCACCTCTCTACCCCCAACTTAGAGTCCTCGTTTTCTAAAACTGAATAACCCATTGACTTTAGTTTGTGTTGTGCATACACTTCTGGAGTGTGGTGACTCTACCAGGAGCCACACCCTTAAAGAAAACTGACTCTCTATTAACATCAGTTGCTCCTCAGTTAAGCATGGGAGCTCATGAACCCCTTCCCATTGCACACTAGAAAGTTGCCTGGCTTGATAATGTGCAGGTTGTGTGCAGAAAACCATGGCTCCTATGAGTTCCTGAGTGTTACAGTCCTGTCGTGTCCAAAAGACACCTCCCTTACTACTGGCTCTTACAATCTTTCCTTTTTTGTTTTCATTGAGAATATTTTTTCATACGATATGTTCTAATTGTGATATACAATCTTTTGAATTACATTCGCTGTATAGATACCTTTTGGGGGCTTAACTAGCATGAGAAGCAATTGCTCCGGCCCTGGGCTTCAGCCCCAGCCCTCCTTTGTAATGTGGGCATTTGTAATTCAGAAAGTCTTCCAGGTGACTGTACTCTGCCTTTAGCCATCATCCCTTCATCAGACATGCTGGTTTTTTATTTGGGGACCATCACAAGCACCCTGTAATGTAATCCTCTTCATGTGCTCCATCTTTATCCACAACTTGAGTTGTTTACTTGGGTGAATTCCTAGAAAGAGATTTGCAAGCAACTTACTTTTCCTTTGTCACACTGAGACTTAGAATTTAGAAGGGTCTTTCTCTTTACCTTAGTAATCCTGGAGCCAGCTGTGTGTTTAGCCTACACTAGGTGAACCATAGAGAGTTAGGATTGAACAGTGTGCGGGTGCTTCTCAGTCCAGGCTAACTGAACCTCATGTTCTCTCTCTGGCACCTCTCCCTCCTTCTCACTCCCATCTTTTTTCTTTTCTCTTCTCCTGTTCTTTTATTATTGTTTATTTTGGTTGGTTTGGTTTTTCAAGACAGGGTTTCTCTGTGCAGCCCTGACTGTCCTGGAACTCAATCTGCATACCAGTCTGGCCTCAAACTCAGAGATCCTCCTGCCTCTGCCTCCAAGTGCTGGGATTAAAGGCACCAGCCACCCTGCCCAGCTCTCTCCTGTTCTTTTAACTGCTATTGTAGATACTTAGATCTTTATAAGAAACAGGAAAGCTTCAAAATAAAAGGCAACAGAATCAACTAATCAAAAAGTATATGTGTTTAAGCCAGGCATGGTAGCACACCCCTTTAATCTCAGCATTCTGGAAGCAGAGACAGGTGGAATCTCTGAGCTCAAGGCCAACCTGGTCTACAAAGCGATTTCCAGGACAGCCAAGGCTACACAGAGAAATCTTGCCTCAAAAAAACAAATAGAAAAAGTGTGTGTTTTTAATATATTTATATATATATACATATATAATGTTTTATATATAATGTGTTATATATATATTTCATCACTGAGCTAAACCCCCCCCCAGCCTGAACATACATTTTCAAAATTTCCTCATGAATATTGTAGAGTTGCCTTTCCAGAAGGATGAACAAGTCTAAATTTACGGCTCACAGTATATGGAGCATACTTTTTAATACATCTTTTATAAGATGGAGTTAAGGGCTTAAAAAAGCATATTAGCTTATTTGTTCTTTAAATTTTATTTGATTTCATTTCCTATCCTTTGTTTTCAAATGTTAAGCATTTTTCATACACTTCATTCAGTATTACATCTTTAAGGGCTGGTAACATGAAATTATTCAAGCTTTTTAATGCTTATGTTAGGGTCTCCTACTGATTCTCATTAATTCTTTAAATGCTAAAAGTAGTACTTTTATCCTTAATATTTATGATCTGGCACTTAAATCATTACAGTTTTTCTGAGACACACTTAGAGCATACATTTTTAAAGCTCTGAAAGCCTGTGTGCTTTTGAGCCAGAAAAGCTACTTGTAAAATTTTACACACTGAAAAGTATTGAGATCTTAGCTAATTCCGTACCATTTTTTTTGCTACGTTGGTAAGGAAATGGACACATGCCCAGTAACTGGAGACCAGGAACCATTGACAGGACTCGTGGAACACTGTATACCTGGGATCCAGGTAGAACTGGATATTGTAAAACAACACAGACAGCTATTCCTATTCTTAAAGATGCATCTGCATGTGCCTAGGCATTCGCGTGTGGCGAGTGTGTTTTGTTTGTGAACAAGCGAGATATTATCTACCTTTATTTTTCTGGTCTAATAGGTAAAAGTCAGGGTAAAGGACCACTCTGAGAAACACAGAGAAATGTTTTCATTAAAGAGCTATCTTTATTTTAAATGAGATATTTTAAATGAGAATTTCAAGTCACTTTCATCAATTCGCCCATCTTGTCCCCTTATGATACTCTGTCCTGCCCTGGAGTGTCTGGTTTGCCATGGTAATTGTTTTTTAAGAGTTATTTAATTTTATGTTACCTGTTTATGTTTTGCCTATACCTGTGTATACCGTGTGTGTGTGTGTGTGTGTGTGTGTGTGTGTGTGTGTGTGTGTGTGTGTGTGTAAAGACCACAAAGGCCAGAAGAGGGCATCAGGTTCCCAAGAACTGGAGTTACAGACAGCTTTGTGAGCTGCCATGTGGGTTCTGGGAACTGTACATGCTCTTGACCACTAAGCCATCTCTCTAGACCTACGAACTAGCTGATATTTAATGTGTCCTTCTGTATTAGTTATTCTTTGTGGCTGTGACAACTAATAGCATGACCAAAGACAAGTTAAGGAAGGAAGGGTTTATTTTGTCTTCGGTTCCAGAGGGATGGAGTCCATTAATAGTGAGAGGGCATGCATGACAGCAACAGAATCCTGGCTCATTACATCTCATCTACACACAGGAAGCAGTTAGAAAGAGAACAGGAAGTAGGGTGGTGCTATGAACCTTCAAAGCCTTGCCCTGTGTGTTGGCTCGTTTTATATCAACTTGTTGTAAAGCTATAGTCATCTGAAAGGTGGGAACCTCAATTGAGAAAATGCCTCCAGAAGATTGGACTGTAAGCAGACAAGCCTGTAGAGCATTTTCTTAATTAATGATTCATGGGGAAGGGCCCAGCCCATTGTAGGTAGTGTCACCCCTAGGCTTGTGGTCCTGGGTTCTATAAGACAGCAGACTGAGCAAACCATGGGAAGCAAGTCAGTTAGACCCTTCCATGGCCTCTACATCAATCAGCTCCTGCCTCCAGGTTCCTGCCCTGTTTGAGTTCCTTTCCTGACTTCCTTCAATGATGAACAGTGTGATGTGGAAGCATAAGACAAGTAAACCCTTTCCTTCCCAAGTTGCCTTGGTCATGGTGTTTTGTCACAACAATGATAACCCTTAGACACCCAGTGACACATTTCTGGCAAGGCTCCATCTTGTAAAGATTCCCCAAGTGTTCAGGCACCTGAGCCTATGGGAGATACTTTTCATACAAACAACCACACCCTGTTTTAGGGCAATATTTGCTCTAGTCACTGTGGAGACAGGGCTGTTGGATCTCTCAGCATCTCGTTGTCCAGGAGATATCTTACTTTCTGTTCATCCCTCCACAGCCTGGAAGCAAGATGGTATCCTCTGCCAAGGCAGCGGTCCCCACTGTGAGTGACCAGGCTGCGGCCATGCAGCTGAGTCAGTGTGCGAAGAACCTGGCTACCAGCCTTGCCGAGCTGCGCACCGCCTCGCAGAAGGCAAGTGGGGCCTTGTCCCAGTGGTTAGCTCTTCAGGCAGCTTTTCATCTCTTTGTGATGTTGTGCTAAGAAGGCCACCCAGGCCCTAACACTGCTGGGCCAGTTTCTCAACAGAGCTGTCTCTTTCACTTAAAGACCATTAAAGATGGCACTACAGGTTAACATTTAACGTAAGCACCTAGGCTTGATCGTCACCTTCCGGTTACAAATGGGTTCAAGTTATATACTTCCTCCATCTCTTCCCATTTCCTGAGACAAGTGGTGGTTTCAGTCTTAGGGTACACTGCCAATCTTAAGTGTCTTGGTACCAGATAAATTGCAGGCCAATGTATCTGTGCTGAATAACTTTTCATTACTATGACAAATGCCCAAGAGAGTCAACATAAAAGGAGCAAAGATTTAGTCAAGCATGCTGACACATGCCTGTAAACCCAGCACTTGGTAGATGGAGACAGAAGCTTCCAGGAGTTCAATTCATCTTTAGCTTATTGGCTACACAGGCCATCCAGGGCTTTGTAAGACCCTGTCTTAAAAAAAAAAACAAAAAACATGGAAGCGTGAGGGTGGTGAGGAAGGAAAGAACTGAGAGAGAGTGAAGGAGGAGGAGGAAGAGGGGACATTATCATGGATTTCTGTTCGTTGTCAGTCAGCCCTCTTGCCTGTAGCTGGTAACAATACTATGTGCCTTGGTGAAAATGCAGGCAGGTGGAATTCGCTCACTTCATGGCAGCCAGCATGCGAAAGATACAAGATGGAGCCAGGGTCCCAGTCACTCCTTCAAAGTCACACTCCCAGTAACCTACCTTCCTTCCCCTAGGCCCCAACCTCCTAAAGGTCCCAACACCTCCCAGGAGTACCATGGGCTGGAACTAATCCTTGATCACATGAGAGAGACACCAGCATTTCAGATCCAAACTAAAGCAATAATTGATTATATCCACATCTTCTATGTATCATCTTGAGAACTTAGAAACAAGCTATGTAGGTAGAAAATCTATTTGAGAGTGGGGCTGTCATCTTACCTATGATTTTCTTCCCTAAAACGTTTTCATACCTTACATGGACCTGTTTGCCTTAACAGAGTCTCAGTAGAACAGACTGGGGGACGCAATAAATCTCTTGTCTCTGAAACTCAGTTATCAAAGGAGCTCGTTATGACTCTGATGTAGTTATTAGCATGAAGTTCTGGCTTGAATTCATTTGTTTCCTTGTAGCAATCCCTTTATAGAAACTAGCAGCCTCATAAAGTGGTGAGAGAAGGAAATAGAAGCCAACTTGAATGCCTGACATGAACAGAGATTCTCCATTGCCAAGGTGAAGTGCACAGGACCTCAGACTCTTAAAGAGGTCCTGGAGCCATCCACACTGTACCAGCCTGCTGTGTGTGGCGGGGTGCTTATTAGAATACAGGTACCCAGCATGCCTCTGACAAAGCCTATCCACACCACAAGCCATGCAGCCCACACAGCTGCAGGCTCCGTTTTCTCAGTGAATCTTGGCATATGCCAGCATCAAACAGCGACCCTGGAACAATGAGCTCCAAAGTGATACTTAAGCAAGACTGTCTCCTAGTCCAAGAGGAGGCCGCGAGAGCTTTCAATTCATTTTTTTCAATGCATCAGAAGGCATGAAGTCTCTCAAATCAGACAGTGTGAATTTGAATTGGGCCCCTGTCACTGACACATTTGTTAGACTCTCTGAGCTTCTGTACCTAATAACATGGACACATAAAAGTCAGCCACCTCATATTTACTGCTGCTTTCACAGAGTGATAATTTATAAGTGTTTCGAATACTGATAGGCAATATTACATATGCATAAAGTTTATTAATATGTGTTGGGGCCATGAAGTCCTGACCGTTGGAGGCCAGTGTTCTAGATGATCAAGAGATTTAAATAAGTAAAGCAAATAATTAGATGGGGGAAGTTTATAAATCTTTAGTATGGAAGGATAATGATGTACGGTATTGAAATGTATGAAAAGAAATTGCTGCAGGCTCTCTGTGGAGTCCTTCCTCGGTTTGCTTATTGCTACCTGGCTGTATGTGTCCCGAGCCTCTGTGCACACAACCCTGAGTACATCCCAAGCCTCTCTGTACGTACATGCTCTGCTGTGCCCTGTCACTGCAACCCAGCTCCAGTGAATCAAAGATGCATCTTCTAGGTCTGAGTGTAAAGTAGCCTCCAGGAGGTTTTTAAGTGTCTGCAGTCCTAAGACACACCTAATTAATGACTTAGGAAAACATGGTTAAGGACCTGAGTGACGGTGGTTCTGTCCTCTCTGGGGGAAATCCTTGCTACCCTTGCCTTCTCCTTGAGGCAGAGTTACCGGGAGTGTCTAGGAAAACATTTCCTAGGTTGCAGAGTGTTAGAGACGGTTTCCCAAGCCTACTGTATGCACATATCCCCCACTCTGTTGGCAGGCCCATGAAGCCTGTGGTCCCATGGAAATCGATTCTGCGCTAAACACAGTGCAGACTCTCAAGAATGAGCTGCAGGATGCCAAGATGGCCGCTGCAGAAGGTCAACTGAAGCCACTTCCAGGAGAAACGGTAGGACATTTGGGGTGGGTTCAATCATCCTCTCTCTTCTCTCTCTCTCTGTGTTTGCCTCTCTCTCTCTCCCTTCCTTCCTTTTTTTTTTTAACAGTATCTCACTGTGTAGCCCAGGTGACTCTGCAAACTCCAGGAAAGGACTGATACAGTGTAAATTGTACATTTGCACCAGACAGTGGATCAAGTAGAATGCAAAATAATGCATTGTAATTTTTACTTATTTTTGTCCATTTGTGTGTGTGTGTGTGTGTGTGTGTGTGTGTGTGTGTGTGTGTGTGTGTGGTAGAGGGGGTAGAGGTCATAGGGCAGTGTTCAGGAGTACTTTCCTTCTACTGTTTGGATCCCAGGTATTAGACTCAGGTCATCGGGCTTAGTGGCAAACACCTTTACCCTCAGGCCCACCTTGTTTTTAGAGAAAGCATTTGCCAGAGGCGAGTGCAGGGGTTGTACATACTGTGTTCTGTCCTTGGCTATGATGGGCCAGACTCCATTTTCATTGGGAGGTATGGCCTTCATTGGGGAAGGTGTTGTATGTTTTAGACTGTATATGTTCTTTTATCCTTCTGTCCATCCTTGTACACCTATATATCTCCTCTAAACAGTGTCCTCATATGCTCATTTATTATCTGTACCCTAGTCCTTTACCGGTTTTGTTTTTTATTTGGTGGACAAAAGAAGCTGGCCTGCTCTTCATGAGTGGCGCGCCCTCTGCCTTCCTCCATAGTCTCAGTTGCTACTCCAAACCTCCATTTTCCTTGCATGCCTTTCAGTTTGAACTCCTCGAAGGATAATGACCAAACTGGACTGTGTTAGTGGTCCCACAAGCCAGGAAGTTGGTGTGGTTGGATGTCTGCCTGCTTCCTGCCGAGGCATAATTACTGCCCACTAATGATTTCTTTTGGAGTTTCTAAAGGCATCATGCTAATAGCTACAGCCTGCTAAGGCGCTGCCTCCATTTGCTGAAGGCCTTCTTAGCTAGGTTCCTTCAGGAGTGGGGCTTAGCGAGGCTCAGTAACTCACATTGTTTCACCTGCACCAACTCACTTAGTCTAAGGCCGGCCATTTTTCCCTGTACTGTCCAGCTGACTCGGGTGAGAAAGAGCTCAGGTTCAGGTTCCCATCTGCATCATTGTTCTAAATCCTGCTAAGACCTCAGAGAATGTTTCTTTTCTAAGTTCTGCCTTCCTTGGGTTTTCTTACAGCTAGAGAAGTGTGCTCAGGACCTGGGAAGCACCTCTAAGGGAGTGGGCTCCTCCATGGCACAGCTCCTCACCTGCGCTGCTCAGGGCAACGAGCACTATACAGGTAGGACTCTCAGGGACTTCGTGATGCACGTGGTGCGGTTGCACACCCGCTGGTCTGGAGAGGGAGGTTCACGGGTTGACAGTAAACTTGCCTCTTCCCCTCAGCTTCATGGCACATCCATCAAGCACAGTCTTGTTGCTAAGCTCTTCGCAAGCGTAGTTGATACTTTTCTCATGGTTGTGTTGAAAATACCTGATAAGTGTCCAGTAGAGAAGCGTTTATTTTTGACTCACAGTTTAAGGCAATATAGTCCATCATGGCTGAGAAGTCATGTTGGCAGGAACATGAGGTGGCTGGTCACATGGCACACACAGTCAGGAAGCAGAGAGAGATGAATACTGCTTCTCAGCTTGCTGCCTTCTATTTTATTCAGAACAGGACCCCAGCCTATGCTAATGCCTGCAATGATGGTGGATCTTCTCCCCTCACTCAGCCTAACTCAGAACTCCCTCACAGACATGATTGAAGATCTGCCTCCTCAGCCAGGGGGATCTAGATCCTGTCAGCTTGACAAATGTTAACCATACAAGGATATAATGCAATAAAGTGATTCTCAAACTCCATATAGATCCCTTGTTAGACTCCGAGGGAGGCGGAGATAATTGTACACTTCTAGGACTATCTCTGACTCCAGAAATCCCACCAAAGTATAAAAAACATAAAAGCTACAAGAAAAGAATATCAACAAAGTCAGACGGAAGGCAGGTGAAGGGAATGGTCGAGCTGAATGAACAGTCCTCAGGGTCTCCAGGGAGTGATGGAAGGAGGGCAGCCAGCAAGAAGGAAACTGAGTTGTGTTGCAGGACAGGCCACTAAGGGGACCTGAGCTTTTCCAGTGCCAAGTAGCTGTCTCTGAAAGGCAGAAGAGTCCTTAATTAGGAAGCTGTGAGTAAGAGGCCGTGTAACTAATGAAAGGGAAAAGCAGAGACCGCTGCAAGTCATGACATCTGTTTCCGGTTTACCTTTCAGGGTGTAGCCCTTAGTGTACAAGTGAGGATGCGGTAAGGCTGCAGTGTGCGCCAAGGCTGCAGTGCGCACTAAGGCTGCAGTGCACCAAGGCTGCAGTGTGCGCCAAGGCTGCAGTGCACCAAGGCTGCAGTGTGCGCCAAGGCTGCAGTGTGCGCCAAGGCTGCAGTGCACACTAAGGCTGCAGTGCACCAAGGCTGCAGTGTGCGCCAAGGCTGCAGTGCACACTAAGGCTGCAGTGCACCAAGGCTACAGTGTACGCCAAGGCTGCAGTGCGCACCAGCGCTGCAGTGTTGGTGCAGTGCGCGCCAAGGCTGCATCCTCTCATGCTTGGAACTATCCTCTCGCCCTACCTCCATGTGCTTGCAGGCCTGGCTTGGGGTCTCTCTCTCTTGCAGCTGTTATAAATTAGGAAATGCCTGGCAGGAAGAAGCTGTCCTGAGCGTGGGCTCCTCTCTGCACTTTTCATTCTTCCAAGATCTTGGCCCGCTCTACCTTGATGCCTTCCTGATTCCCAACTGACTTCAGCCATATGTTTCCCAGTTTCTCTGTGAGAGGGTTGGTTTGCAGTGAGTTAATCTGCCATCCCTCCAAGCAAAATTAAAAATGCACATATTTATTACTTGAAAAATAAAAGAGCAAAGCAGGAATCAGCATTATATAGTATAACACAGTATGTGCAGTAATAAAAATATACAATTCTGTCCTAATCAGAAATAAGGGAAATTTTCAGAGGAGACCAGGGTGTTGAAGATCACTGGGGACATTTCAAAGGGCTCCGGGAGAAAGGGAAATGGAAGTATGAATTCTTACAAACTAGAAGACAGGAGAGAAGTTTACATTTTAGAAACTCCTGCACGATCCCAGAAGTTTGGCGGATTCTGTTTGATGGTGAAATGTGTGCTTCTAGGAGGGGAGACTGCTGGAACCCGAGAGTTACATCATCCGGGACAGACAACATGCAGAGTGGCAGGCAGCCTCCTTGGTTGGCCTAGATAGCAAGCCATTCAGCGTTGGCAGGCATTGAGAGGGTGGTGTTGAAATGGGTGCTGTGTGTGTGAGGTCTCAAAGGTGAGAGAGAAGCCTGTCAAGGAACTGAGAAGCTTCTAGTAAAAGGCAATCAAGGAAGACATAGCAGGAAAGCTGAGCCAAGGTGCAGACACCAAGGGGCCTCGTAGGCAACATGAACGCTTGGAGTTTCACCAAAAGCCATATGAAACCATTGGAGGGTTTTAGCTGTGGAGACAGATGACAGTGTCCTCTGGGTGACCCTTCCTCCTACGTGTGGAATAGACTGGAGAGAAACAACAGAAAGAAGAAAGACCAACAACCAGACTGTTGAATTCATTTAGACAAGAGGTGGTGATCTTCTGTGGTAATTAGCTTTATGTCACTAAAATAAAACACCCGAGGTAATTAACGTCTATAGAGGAAGAGTTCATTGTGGCTCATGGTGGCTCTAGTCCATAATTATTGGAGTGTTGGGCGATGCAGCATAGAAAGGCAGGAGCATGTAATAAAACAAAACCACTCACCTCGTGGCCAGAAAGCAAAAGAGTAAGAAGGAAGGCACAGAGAGTGTATGCCATAACCACCTTCAAGAGCGTGTGGCCAGTGTCCTCAAGTCCTCCCACTAGGCCATGTATCTTAAAGCTACTAGCATCACCTTGGGGACCAAGTCTTTAACACATGGACCTTTGAGGTTTGAACACTCAAGATCTAGAGTATGGCAGTGATGCATCCAAGGGGATAGATTAAAGCAAGCTGACACTGCTTGGTGACTAGTTAGAATGTGGCAGACATGGAGGTAAAGAAGAAAACATTGAGAATTCTTAGGCCTGGCAGCAAACTCAAGAGTCCCATGAGCTTCGAGGGTAAGATCGCAAGACTGAGAGGGTCAAGAGTTGAAGTTCAAGGATGCAGTTCTAACTTCAGATGGACTTGGCTTAAAGTACTTGGTGGCTGTACAAATAGAGAGGATATAGGCAGTTTGCTCTCTGGCTCTCTTAGGAGAGGAGTCTTGGCTGGAAACAGAGATTTTGTAATTATTAGTCTAGTCATGGTCATTGAAATCTTAACTGTGGAAAAGTTTGCCTGGAGTGAGTAGCCGATGGGGAAAAGGTTAGCTAGTGAAAGATGACGCTGAATGATAGAAAGAGGAGCCACATCCATGGGTAAGAGATGGTGTGTCTCTGGAGACAGAGTTGCTCCTCAGAGAGTCACATAGGGCCGTGGAGAAGCCTCCATTCACTTTAGGAGTAAGGAGGTCCTTGCCCATCTGGGTGGAGGCAGTTTCAGCAGAGTTGAAGAGTGCAGGGAGCGAGGGAAGAGAGAACAAGGGTGGACAGTTCCTCTCTGAGTCTAGCTCCCTCCCCCATACTTGAGGCCTGTGGAATGTTCAGTGGCTACACATTAACTATTAGTGGGCTGTACCTGGATGCAACTAGGTTTTCGTTTGGCCAGTTAAATAGCCCAAATATATTTCTAAACCATTTAACACAGCTACATACAACTTTTTGCAAGTACTTCAAAACAGATTAAAGGTTTACATCATTCCTAAATCCATCTTGGAGCCTTGAGTTGTGGTCCAACACTAGTTTGACATGCAATATATGTGAATTCTGAAAATAACAAACATTCTGAGAGCTGGGTATGGTAGCATGTGCCTAGAGACAGGAGGATCAGGAGCTCAAAGCTAGCTTGGGTGACATGAGACCCTCTTTCAAAAACAACTTCATAGAATGCCGATATGTTTGATATCTCTTGCTGTCCTGAAACTCTGCTATAGAGTATAATTGAAGATCCAGATGTGAAAGAAACTATGTTCCCCAAGGATTACAGCTATTAGAACAGATGTGTGCTTTATAGTTTGCCCCTGTTGGGTTACAGATCTTCATGTACACTTGACCAGAAAAGCAATTGTGGGGTAGTAGGGTCATGAGGAGGAGGAGGAGGGAGGGTGCTGATTTTGGTCACATGACCCGATGGGGATTCCCATTGAAAACATGTGAATGCAGCCATGTTGGGCCTTGGATGTTCAATGGGCTCTCTGGTGGCCCTGTTTCACCTTTTTGGTGCTGTGACTTCCTCTGTCTGGGAAACCTGGTTCCTCCAAAGAGGAGCCTTTGTTGTGCCTTGAGGTTTCACAGTGAGTCCTCAATAGAGGATCCATGGCAAGGACAGGGGGAGGATTTTAGAGCCTGGCTTTCCAGTGTCGGCCTTTCAGAAATCACCTGAAGGGCCAGTAGGATGGCTCAGCAGGTAAAGGTGCTTGCTGCCAAGCCTGATGATCCGAGTTCAATTCCTGGAACCCTCACAGAAGAAGAAGAAGAAGAAACTGACTCCGACAAGTTGCTTTCTGACCTCCACGTGCATGCCATGATGACACACCTGCCTACACACACACACACACACACACACACACACACACACACACACACACACACACAAACTATATTTACACCTACACAGCCATGTTCACTTACACAAAATAAGTCAATAAAATGTAATCTTAAAAATTTTATATCATGCTAATCTATAAAACATTTTCCATTCAGTAGCTTTACATAAACACATCTTTTCTAATTGTATATTGTGAATATTTCATCTTTTTAAAATTCTCATAGAATTTGAATAGAAGTGGATTTAAGAATCCAAATAATAAAAGGGCACTGGCAGGCAATAGATGTCTTAAAAAGAATCACAGCCTAGAATCTTCAACAGTTAATTCTCAGCCATTCCTGAAACTTGTGGGAAGCTATGGCCTGTGAGAGAGACAGCAGTCTAGACACACAGACACTTGGCAGGGAAGACAGTGAGATGAGGGCCTGACCACATCTGGAGTTCTTCTGAGCGATGACATCCTTCAACACTGAGCCAAAAGCTGAAACATAGAATGTTTCTCCCCTTGGCCTTAGCTTTATTTACCTTTGTGTTTTCTATTCTGGACTTCTGTAGTGCCTGCACACACACAAACATACCTGTCACACACGCGTCACGTACACACACATGCCCATCACATACACACACACACAAACACACACACACACACATACCTGTCACACATATTACAAACACACCCATCACACACACACACACACACACACACACACACACACACACACCTATCACACATATTACAAACACACCCATCACACACACACACATACCTGTCACACATATTATAAACACACCCATCACACACACACACACACACACACACACACACACACACACACACACACACACCACAAAGAAGGAAATCCTGAGTTTGATGCCCTTCCTTTCCACAGGCTGCCTGACCAACAGTAGATTGGCAGTGCTGTGACCTGCCATGGTTAGGTTGCAGCACTCCCATCCCAGCTGTGTGACACACAGACCATTCATAGATTAGTGAGTCTGCAGCTGCAGACGTGGCTGGGTTTGGGGGGTCTGGGGCTTTTCTTCTTATCGAGCCTCATGGATACCACAGGGAAGATCGCTGACTGTGTCGGTAATGACTTGAAGAACAACTCTGTAGGAAGCTGTACCCCGGACTGGAAGGAGTAGTTTCCATGCACAGCCCCTGTGTTCCAGCAAGAGGCCCTCACACCTCACTCTTCCAAAGAACACACTAAAGAGTGTGTGGCAGGAAGCTAGGAACCTCAGATCCAGCTCCAGTGCTGCCTAGGAAGTGTCCTGTAGTCAGGACATTCTCACTGCTAGGCCTTATGGGAAGCCATTTCTTGAGATAAGCTCTGGGGTAGATCAGATTCCTTTGTTCATAGGAGAAAGGTTCCTCCATGCTCCGTCCTCTCTTTGGTGGTCTCAGGACCAGGGGCCTCATAGTTAGACATGTGTTTATTCTGCATGCGGTGATACTGATCCCTTAGAGGACTGGTTTGTATTCATCACTCCCTAGGCCTGCTATCTACATCAAAATGGATTTCGAGATAGACACTTCCCAAGAGGATATCCAATAGCCATTCAGTGTATTTGTTTAAGTCCTCAACATCATCCCCATACTAGTTAGTTTTAACTGTCAGCTTGGCACAGCCTAAAATTATCTGGAAAGGGAATCTTTGAAGAAAATTAAGATTTTTTTTTTATGTGTATGAGTTTTGCCTGCATGAATGTATGTATGTGTACCATGTGCATGGCTGGTGCCCTCAGAGGTCAGAAGAGGGTTCTCAGATCCCTTGGAACTGGACTCTTGACAGTTGTGAGCTGGGTGGGTGCTGGGAACCACACTTAGGACCTCTGCAAGAGCAACAAGTATTCTTAACTGCTGAACCATCTCTCTAGTCCCAGAGAATCTTAGTGAGCAGTCGTCTAGCTCAGGTTGGCTTGTGGGCATGCCTGTGTGTGAGCTCTTGATTGCTGGGCCCTCTAATATCAGTGAGCAAATTGTTGGCAGCATCATTCCCTAGGCAGGGGTTTTGAATAGTGTAAAGGAAATGAAAACACAGGCAAGGAGCAACCATGCCTTGATTCTCTTTCTCTGCTTTTGAGTGGGGATGTGGTGGTCTGAGTTCCTGTTTTGCCTTTCTGCAGGAGTGGACTACAACCTGGAATTGTAAGCCAAGCAAACCCTTTTCTCCCCTACATTGCTTCTTGCCAGGTTATTTGTCATAGCGACAAAAATAAAACTTGGATGATTACTCTTTCAGGGTGTGAAAGTTAAAATACAGTTGAGATGCAGCTACAGACCCGCTGAAATTCAAACTCCAACAGTACCTACTAGTTATGATACAGAAGAGTGTGTAATGGCAACATTCTGGAAACCTGCTGTATACATTTTCTAAAGCTACATTAGCCCTCTGTGACTCAGTCATTCAAATCCTGGATTTTTTTTTCAAGATATGTGGTTCCACATGTTTACCTGAGTGCACACATAAGACCTTTCTTGGGAGTTTTATCTCAAACACAAAACAACGTAACTTCTATCAGCAGAGGAACAGATATGCAAATGTTAGGACATTTATATAAGATCATACAGGAGGAAAGAGAAATAGTTACTCAGAACAGCACCACTTGAACTCACAGCCTTGATAGTTAGAGATAGAAACAGATTCAAATGAGTGTAAATTGTGTAGTTCCTTTAAGCTAGTCTAAGGTGACAAATAAGATTAATTACTTCCAGTGTGAGGAGCATTGTTGGGGAAGGACACTATAATGGTGGATGTATCTATCCATGCAAATTCACTGAACTGCTCACTCTTTCTTTTATATGTATAGTTTATGCCCCCGTAAAGGCAATTGGGAAAGTTAGTGTATTAAAATAACTTCCCACATTCTATGCACTCCATCTGCGCACCTCCCATGAATGTGGTATTTTAGATCTAGAGACATGTAAGGCAGTAGAAACAAGGGAAGCTGATGTATGGGGCATTTCATATATTGCTGTGTCTCTTTTGATCAGCTTGGACACAAGGGGGTGAACTACTTCATTGAGAAACACAGCAATTCACATTTGTCAAAAATTAATCTGGACTCCAGGGTTATTGTAGAGGAGAAATGTAACTTCTGATGGAATTTAATAGAAACTCTAACAGGCTTTCCTCCGCAGGAGTGGCAGCTAGAGAAACAGCCCAAGCTCTGAAAACATTGGCCCAGGCTGCCCGGGGAGTGGCTGCATCCACAAATGACCCCGAGGCTGCTCATGCCATGTTAGATTCTGCTCGGGATGTGATGGAGGGCTCGGCCATGCTCATCCAAGAAGCCAAGCAGGCCTTAATTGCACCTGGAGATACAGAAAGTCAGCAGAGGCTAGCCCAGGTGAGCCTGGGAACTGGGAACCATGGTCATTGGGGTTGTGCTTTCTGGACACATTTTCCTGGCACAAATGCTTGGGACTCAGGTATTTTCAGATCCTTCCAACATGTGTGTGGTAACAAAACTGACCATACATGATACTCACTATTATGTCTTACCTAGTATTTCCCACATTAATCTACTTAATTCATAGTCAACAGTGACATGGGGGCTTTGAACTCTGTTTGGCTTGGTACTCTAGACATAGCATGCTTACCTGGAGCTTATGTCTACTTTGCTAAACTCCTCTTCCTGGTGAAGTAGGGTCCTGCTACCCAAAGGTTCTGAACAGACTCCCTTAATCTCTTCTGATGATTCTTCAACTCCCCAATGAAACCAACTGACTAGGGACAATCTGTTCCCATGTTCTTGACATGGGACTGGGAAGATAGATGTTTTAGAATTAAATAGAATGTTGCTGCCCGCTCCGTAGCTTCCCTTTTAACTGAGACAACCGGAGCATGCCAGCAGGGACCCATCTCAGTATTCCTGAAAGGCAATATGCCGACATCTTCACCAGGTTGGGCTGAATGTGCGGGAGCACCCTCTTTGCCCATTGTGAAAGTGGGGTGTTTTGAGGTCTGTGAACACCAGAGGTTCACTGAGAAGAATCAATCACAGGTTTAGATATGCTCCAAAGAACCTAAGTACAACTTCAGCCTTGGGGACCTCAGCAGGACTCCAGATAAGGGAGGCATTTCTGTTTCATTTAAGAGAAAGTGCCTATACTTTAGGGCTTGGCCTCATATTGGGGAATTCTGTGTTTGGATTCCAGAGCTGCGGCTCATCCTGGCTCTGGGGAGCAGATGACATGTGCAGCATCAAAGGCTGTTACTCCCAGCACCAGGGTAGCAGAGACTAGAGACCTGGCCAAGGTGATTTCATTTAGTTAACAGTGTTGGGTAGCTGCCGATGAATAATTTCCATGTTGATGTCAGCTCTGCATATTTTCTCTGCTCTTTCTCAACAAATGTGCAAAGGCATTTATGCTGGAAGCGGCTTTCTTAAGGTGTTCCCCTCCCTCCCTCTGTGTGTCCAGGTGGCCAAAGCTGTGTCTCACTCCTTGAATAACTGTGTGAATTGCCTCCCTGGCCAGAAGGATGTGGATGTGGCCTTGAAGAGCATCGGGGAGTCCAGCAAGAAGCTGCTTGTAGATTCGGTGAGGTCCTTGTCTGGGAAGGGGTACCTGGTAGCTGTCCACCCACAGAGGGAGCATGACTTTCCCCCTCCCTGGATCTCTGAGCATTTCTCTTAAGAGTCCTGATTTTCTGCCATTTTCTGTTTCCTTTCTGGTCAACAAACATCCCAAGGGAGGAATTGTCAGGGAAGAGTCTGTGCTAGTGTGAGAGCACATGTATTTGTAGCTACATGCATGCATCTCTGTGCACGTGCCTCTGGAGACCAGAGGACATCTTCAGGTGTCGTTCCTTGGGTGCCTTCTACTTTTTGTTTGAAGCGGGATCTCTCAGTGGCCAGGCTAGCTGGTCCGTGAGCTTCCCATCCCCCCACCACTGGGGTTACATGTGTGCACCACCCCTCCCGGACATTTATGTGAGTGACCTGAACTCCAGTCTTCATGCTGGTAAGGCAGCCCCTTTACCAATGGTACTGTCTCCGCAACCCCCAGGGTGGAGCTTTTCACACTGACTGCTCTTGAGTCATCGGAGTGGGACAGAAAAGAGGCTATGATTGATCATCTAGATCTTTATCAGGGCATGACAGATGGTGACAGACAGTCCAAGGACAGAGGGGGACCAGCTCAAGACTGAGTGAGAAAGAAGGCTTCCTAAAGGTTTTTTCCTTGGGGCCCTCTCCTAGCCCACGCTGAAGGAAGCATGGAGAGCATTTGTCTGTTTCTTCTGGTTACAGATGTCCAGCAGCGCATGTGGGTGCTTAGTGGGGTCTGCAACCTTGATGACTGTAATTCCACAAATGATACTGTACTGGTGTGTGCCTCCCCGCTTTTAAGTTATTTGCAAGGACCACTAATAAAAACAAAATTGGCAGTTATTTGTTATGAAGAATGTGATTTGAAGTTGGCTATCATCAACCTCTTAGTTCTAAAAAGCTTAAACTGAGAGTTTCCATCAGGGGAGACACAAAGGAGGGTGGAGACTGGAGCCCAGAGTTGAGTTGCTTGGGCATGAATCCTGGCCCTGCCATTTCAGTGGGTGTCCGTGATTGGAGAATAGCTGCTTTCACCATATTTAGCTCTCTAGTGTCTGCAAAGTGGACGTTCCATAAATGTGGTTGGATGGATGGATGGATGGATGGATGGATGGATGGATGGATGGATGGATGGATGGGTGGGTGGGTGGATGGATGGGTGGATGGGTGGGTGGATGGGTGGGTGGGTGGATGGGTGGATGGATGGATGGATGGATGGATGGATGGATGGATGGATGGATATGTGTTGAAGGCTCTGGAGAGAAAGTAGTGAACTGAACATGGCCAGCAGACTTGACCAGGTCATGAGATGAGGGGGATGGGGGGAGAAGTTGAAGAGAATAAGTCAGTCAAAGGAGACTGAGAGAGAAGGGGCCAAGAGAGGAAGAGAGAGAGGACCAAGAGAGTACATGGCTAAAATGGCAGGGTTATGTGGGCATGAGAAGCAGGGTGAGGGGAACCTGTGAGCTGGAGTTTAGGGTAAAGGGTAGGGTGAGAAGAGCCACAGGACTTGTTACGCTGAGCCTGGAGGCCAGCGTGCTCTTCGGTATGCTGATAGGCACCACAGATAGCCATTTGTTTCTTTTGGACCTGCCATCTTCTAGTTGGATGACTCAGAAGCACATCTCTGGGCAGTCTCTGTTCCATCCACAATACCTTCGCCCCTCTGACGCAAAGTAAAACTTCCCATGGCGTGTGTCTTCTGTCCTGACAGCTACCTCCAAGCACAAAGCCTTTCCAGGAAGCCCAGAGTGAGCTGAACCAGGCTGCTGCTGATCTGAACCAGTCTGCTGGGGAAGTCGTCCACGCCACGAGGGGCCAGAGTGGAGAGCTGGCGGCCGCTTCTGGAAAGTTCAGTGATGACTTCGATGAGTTCCTGGATGCTGGCATTGAGATGGCTGGCCAGGCGCAGGTAGGTGGGAAGGTGGCTTATATTGCTCACCTGAGCCTCCTCGCTCTGGTAGACCCTCCAGCTGAGGGCAGCTAGGTGAGTGGGAAACAGGATCCTGTAAACAAGCTACAGCATCTTCCTTGACTGCCTTGGAAATTCTGTGACCTCACAGGCTTGGCATGCACAGCAGTGCTGGGGATGAGGCTGACTTTTCCCACACTCCACCAGCAACAGAGCCTATATATCAGTTTACTTGCATTTGGGGGGGCGGGCAGGTAGAGGGTTGGAAGGGAAAGCATTTGTATCAGAGATGAAGTGGGAAAATGCACGAACATGAACACACATATGTGTGTATTTGTAGTTTGGTGGATTTGTTTGAATGGATTACATCTGGTACTTTCAGGTAGTCAAAAATGACCTCATTCGGATAGAGAGATGAGCCACTTATTTATAAATGCTAGGGAACATGACTGGTCTGGCATCAGATAGCAGGGCTGGTTTTTTGTTAATTTGTTTTGCTTTGCTTTTTTTTTTTTTTTTTTTTTTTTTTTTGAGGTTTTATGAACTCCCTAAAAAGATACCCAGGGTATTTCCTGCTACATTTTCTACAAAAGGTAATTTGTCAGTTAGTGAGCTGAGTGAGAAGTGTATTCTTCACCAGCCGGATCCTTCTGGGATACTGTCGGCTCTGCATATCTACATAGTGCTGGGCGTTTGTGCCAGGCTGGGATGTACAAGATGCTTGACAACTCCAGCATTGTTGAGCAAGATGCTCGAATCATTGCCCAGTCTCTGCCCTGGTGCGCCTCTCATTCTCCCCTCCCAGTCCCTCAATACTCCCAGATAACGAGAAAGCAGAACTCCTGGCTGGCCCACTTGGACACGGATTTCCTTCTCTGCCACGTGCATCTTGCTTCAAGCATCTGCTCGGGGATGAGCAGACTCTGGTTATACATTTGCAGACTGACTGCTCTGATGTCGTCTGTGCCTCCACCTCGGGAGTTGTTCCTAGCTCACTGAGAGCTTCCTGGGAAGCTGTAGTCGGTCTCAACTGACTCTGTTTCCTTTTGACTCTCCAGACGAAAGAAGATCAGATGCAAGTGATAGGGAACCTTAAGAATATCTCTATGGCGTCCAGCAAGCTGCTCTTAGCCGCCAAGTCTCTCTCTGTAGATCCTGGAGCTCCCAACGCAAAAAATCTTCTGGCTGCAGCTGCAAGGTAAGAGTGGGATGAGATGTGCTTTATGGATGTGTAAAGGGTTCTGTCACATTTGAAGGGTGTGCCCAGCGTCCTGCCACTTTGGCTGAGCAAAGAATTGCTGCTATCCTTGTTATCCGAGGTAGAGTAATTGATGGAAATTCTGGTGTTTTGTAAAATTAACTCATTCCTGTATTTTGGGCACACTAAGAATGTCTGCCATCTTCCCAGATGGCCTCTTTGATTCTTACTTAGGCTGCACTGACTTGTAAACATGATAGTTTAAGTAGGTTTTTTTTTTTCTTTTTTCATTTTCATGTATAGTATGGTGTGTGTGCATGTCTGTGAATTCAGGTGTGTGATCCCATATGTAAAATCCTGAAGTGGATGTTGGGAATCATTCTTGAACATACTCTGTCAATCTTCGACCTTATTTGTCGAGCAGGGCGTCTTAGTCAAATCCAGAGTTTGCTGATAGGACTAGTGGCCTCACTAGCCAACCCTGTCTCCCTCTGCCAAGGTTAGAATTACATGTGGGCCACCACGTTCAGTCAACACTTTACGTAAGTTCTAGGAATGTGAACACTGGTCCTCATGATTGCTGTGCAATCATTTGAACTACTCAGCCATCTCCCTGGCCCCTAAGTAGGTTGTTTAAAGCAGCATTATGTTGTTCAGATTTTGTAAGAAATAATGTGCTCACTGGAATAGACATTGGGACATACTTAGAAACAGTGCTCAAGCCATTCTGTTGACACTGGACGTATACTACACACTGGCATCCATGTTGGATTAGATTTTATGTGTTCTACCCATCACTTGCAGGAGGGCTCTGGTTTAGGGTCAGTGGGTTACAATGGATGTACACTGTTATTGAACTGAATTAAAATGTGAAGCCAAGTTTGGGGTGATTTCAGTACCCTTCCCTCTACTCACTCACTTCAGGGATGTAGTACAGTTTCTGCTGCCTAGCCACCACTGTGACACTTTGAGCTCAGTAAGTAGGATTGACTGCTGGTTTGTGTGGTACTGGGCTGCTGTGATGGCCCAGGGCTGTCTCATACAAGCGGTCTCAGGTTCATTGCCCCACACTTCAAGCAAAGGCTGTGTTGTGAATCTTTGGTGTTACATAGATCCCCAGCATCGTTTCAGATTATGTTTAACAACCCTAGGGGTGGTGACATATTACTGAGAGGTGACTGGGGACATAGAATAAGGGGAAACCTTTTCAAAATGTGCACATTTGTGATAAGCTTCAATTCTGCTTGCATTTTATTCATTTAGATTTGTGAACTTATTTACCTATTTATTTTGAGACAGGGTCCCTCTGTGTAGCCCTGAATGTCAAGGAACTCCCTATGTAGACTGCCCTGGCCTAGAACTCCCGGAAATCTGCTTCCCTCTGCCTCCCCACTGTTAGGATCAAAGGCATACACTGGACTTGCATTTGATTTTTAACTTGGTTTTTGTTTGTTTGTTTTTTGTTTTATTTTGTTGTTGTTGGTCCTGTCTTTAAGCTGTCTGAGTTCAAAAACCTGAATTCTAATCCAAGGTGCTTTAATAGTCTATCTGCCCAGTCAGATGTTCAGATGGGTCAACCTGCCCAAGCTTTGCTACCTGTAAAGTGGGTGTAAGCGCCAGCTGCCTTCAACAGTTTTTAGCTTTTATGGTACTAATAGTGGCATCCTGTCTCTCCTCCCGTGTTGACTTGAGTGAATGTTTTAAATTTGTGTTTGCCTTTTTCGTGGAAGGATAGACAATTCTCTAGCAAGCATTTAACTTCTGTCCTTGCTGTTGTCTTTCTGCTATGACAACATGGCTGATGAGAGCAACCTAAGGAAACAAGGTCTTATTTTCGCTCAAAGCTTGAGGGTCCAGTCCGCCCTGGCAGGGAAGTCATGGCGGCAAGGCTTTGAGGCAGCTTCTCACATTGCCTCTGTCCTTAGGAAGGAGATCAGTGAATGCTGGTGCTCAGGGCCCCGGCCCATGGAATGGTGCCACCCACAGTTAGGGTGGGCCTTCTTGCATCTATTAACACAATCCGGAATCTTCCTCACAGGCACGTGTAGTGATTTGTCTCCTGAGCAGTTCTAGAGCCTGTCAAGCTGACAGTCAGTACAAACGATGGCAGCAGCAGGTACATTTAGTGGCAGACAGTAGCCAGCGCCACAGGGGACTGCAAAATTTTCCTCTCACCAACCCGCCCCAGTCTGTATTTCGCTTGTGATTGCTCTAGTAAAACACATACCCTCCCTGGACATTGGGGGTGTGCACAGGGTGGGCATCTGTTCTATTCGGTCCCCACTCCTTAAAAAGTTCTTTTTTTTTTTTTTTTTTCCTTACATTTTTTTCCTGCCAAGAGCCTTTGGGAAAGACAGCTGATGTTTCCAGGTGTCTGAACTCCAATGTTTTTTATTATCTTCATTTTTTTTGCATCATTTCCAAATTGTAGTTTCCAGCTTTAATGAGCTGTTCACTCTCTTGAACTGTGGGAAGAAGGGGAGAATATAAATTGGCTTTTTAAAAGCTGGCTATAGAAGGCCACACAGACCAGAAAAGAATTATGGCTCCAGGTATCCACAGGCCCCCTGGTGGTGGCACTTGAGAACAGGAGCCCAGATGGAAAATCTCAGCCTGTGACCCAGCTTCCAGCCTGACCGTAAGCAAGGAGCTTGAAGGTTTTTCTTTGCTTTTGTTTATTTTGTTGTTGTTTTTGTTTTGTTTTGTTTGAGACAGGGTTTCTCTGTGTAACAGTCCTGGCTGTCCTGGAGCTCACTCTGTAGACCAGGCTGGCCTCGAATTTACAGAGATCCACCTGCCTCTGTCTCCTGATTGCTGGGGTAAAAGGCCTGGGCCACCACCACCTGGGGGACTGAGGGTTTTAAAGCCAAGAAGGTACGCAAAACATCTCACATAGAAGTAATGGTGTGGAATAGACGTGATGCCATGATCCTGGTACCTCCTTTGTGATTTCTTGGTGTATTTTGGCTCCTTCTGCTCCTGGTTCTTCAGCAGGTACTCCAGCCATATCCAGGGCAAGCTCCTGTGGAGACACAAGCTTCATCTGATTAGGGGATCATCTGTTCATGCTTGTTTCGTGGTTCTTTGTAGAGATGTATATAAAGGGTCTGAAGGGGCCAAGGCCAGCGCTGGGTGCTAGGTACTGGATGTTAGGTACACACACATAGGCTCATCTGAGTACACAGGAGATTGAGCAACAGAGTCCTTTTTCTTCAGGTCCACAGTCCTGTCCATTCTGGCAACAGCCCAGCCCTGTTTGTCCCTCTGTGCATGGTTCTAGCTTGCCTGTCCTATGGCTGTCAACCTTTCTGTACCCCTTGTTCTTTGGGGCTCTGTGATCCTTCATGCTCTGGGCACAGAAGTTTCTTTTGAAGAAAATACTGAGGTTATCTTTCCTCATCTCTGAACTCTGCCTCGGCACCTGGGGAGGGCGGTTGATAATGGGCCTTTGGCTTACGGCACCTGTGGGGAAGGAGTTGGATTCTGTCTTGTGCCCATCTTGGTCATCTTCCTGTGTGGCTGGCCAGGCTCTGGCTCATCTCCGCCAAGTCAGGTGGCGCTGGAGAGCCTCTGTCGACCAATTCATCTGAGCTCTCCCCACCCAGGAGCTGGGGTCTTGGTCTGATATTCCTTGAACTTGGCCCCGGAATGGAAACCCAGTCCACAGCTGCAGGAAGAGCTCAACTCATTCCCTCTGAGCACTGTCCGCACGGGTTGGTGCCAGCATGGATCACCCTGGCCACAGGAACAGCTGGCTGGCTGTTGTCCCGTCTTCTGAGGGTCTTCCCTGGGAAACCGAAGCTCCTTGTGTCCCCTTGGGTCCTGATAGCCAGGTTTCTTCCCATCTCCAGAGACTGCGACAGAGGATGACCGAGCAAGCTGCACGAAGGGGGGGATGGCCTGCACCCGATAACAAAGAAAAATATAAATGGCAGCTTTCCCCTCTTTGTTGGTCTCATCCAGAATGTTCTCAGCCTTTCTCCAAGCCAGGATCTAAGGCAGCATAGACTTTTTAGGCGTCCTTAGCCCTCATTCACACCTTCTCGTGTGCAGAGTCCCAGCCCAGGACCAGGGCTGATTTTTTTCCATGCTTTGATCTGCTTGTTGGCAGTTTTTCCTGTCCTGCCCCCTGTCATGTCTGTCTCGGTGTCTTACCTTTGTCCTCTTGCTTCTCCAGCCAGATTGCCAGCACCTTGCTGGCCTAAGGAGGTTTAAACTCCATTTGTTTTTAAGTCACCAAGCCTTGGGCAGAATATGGCCCAGAGAACGCTTACAGAGAAGCTGACTGCCTCTCTCCTCCCCTCCTTGCAGAAGAGACTGGTCATGTTTTGTTTCCCCTCCAAGTTCCTTAACAGGTGACTTTTTACCTTGTGATGATTCCAGCACTACATAGTAAGACTCTGTCTCAATGAAGTAGGAAAGAAAAAAATTGCAGCTAGATCTGCCAAACTTGAGTTGAGTTGGTTCAGTGTCTCTGGAACTAAGTGATTTTACTTTAGAACCCCTGTTTGTAGATGTAACCAACCTTCTTATTAAATAAGAAACACAGAACCAATGCAAAGAAGAAAGCCAAGAGGTCAGAACTAAGAGCTAAAACCTTACCCTTCCTCCTGCGGTGGTCCTACCTCTCCGAACCAGAGCTACTCCTGTGTTAAAGTCTTTATATAGAGTTCCTGTTCTACCTTCTCATTGGTTGTAAACCCAACCACATGACCACCTCGTCACGGCCTGTCTGTGTAGACCTCCAGGTTTTCCATGATTGGTATTGAGATTAAAGGCATGTGTATCCAATAATGGCTGTATCCCTGAACACACAGAAACTTACCTAGCTCTGCCTACCAAGTACTGGAATTACAAGCATACGCCACCACTGCCCTGCTTTCCTATGGCTTGCTAATAGCTCTGACCCTGGGCAACTTTATTTATTAACATGCAAATAACATTTTAATACAAATAAAATATCACCATATTTCCCCTTTTCTATTTTAATAAAAAGAAAA